TTCTTTACAGATTTTTTTTTGTCAAATTTTCTTTGCAAATTTATAAAAAAATTATATAGATTAATATATATATGATGAAAATGACGGTAATATGCTGTAAAAATAGAAAGTTAAAAAAATTATGAAATTGTTTTAAAAAAAATGATTTAAAAGATACAAATTTTTGTGATAAAAAATAAAAAGTAAATTAGTTTAAAACATAAAAGAACACTTGTCTCTCAACTGACTTGTGTGCTTTATAAGTATAAAGATATATATATCTTCCGGATAGATGTTTAGAAGTAATATTTTGTAAGAGAACATGTAGTTGGAGTAATTAACAAGAAAAAACAAAACCAAATTCATAAGAACTGAACTTGGAACAATTGGATCGTCGGCAAGCTGTCTTATTATGTAATGACGGTTGGGGCTGATCGGCCGGTGAACTCTTGCATCTTAGACAGCGTTAAAGCAACATCAACCTGTGAAAATCAAACATTCAATAAAACAACAGTTTTGCATTTCGTGTCCATAACCACGACAAAGATCGATATGATAACTTTTTTGAAGTAATTAAAAGATAATCTAAAATCTTACCAGAGGAGACAAAGCATCCTGAGAATCTCGGCCAGTCTTTGCGGCGTCCTTCTCGTACTGTTCAATATAGAGTCTGATTGTTGCTCCTTCTGAGCCAGTCCCCGAGAGACGGAACACCTTTTTTTTATTGGACAAGAGAAAACAACAACACTGGATTTAGTTTCTACTGTTTCTCGAGCTCTGGACCCTTTCTTGTGAATTCAATTTCAGACAGATGGACTTACAAGTCGTGATCCATCCTCGAACAAGTATCGGATCCCTTGGTGCTTCGAAACAGAGCCATCTACTGGATCTTTGTACTCGAATTCATCCGCGCTTGCAACGTTTGCCACTTCCGGATGAATTTCCTTCACAATCCTGAACAATTATCAAGTAACAGAGTGTGTATGAGTGAGTTTTGAAAGCAATTAAGAGAAAATTAATTAAACAAAAAAGAAAGAAAGGGAGAGGCCTACTTGTTGACTTCAGGAAGTGAAGATTGCAATTTAACCAAGAGCCCCATGAGTTCCTTAGCTGCACCTGCGTCTACGTTCTTTGGAGGAGATATATAATTGGTAAGCCGTATTGTTTTAATTATGCGTATTGTATATAAACTCGATAATGAAACTTAAGATCTTTTACCTCATAGTCGTATCGAGTGTAATAGTGACGGCCGTAAGTAGCCCAGTGCTGGCGAACAATGTCCTCTACCGTCACCAGTTTTGCATTCCCGTCAAGGGTTTCTTTGTTCTTGTGAGCCAATATGGACAACCAAGCGAGAACAGCCCAGATCCCGTCTTTCTCACGGATATGATCCGAACCTGTGGACAAAAGCTTCTTTGTGAGCTGTGTAGAGTTGTTTAGGTGTTTTTTAAGACATGTGAGGATCATCTAGCAACAGAAGCTAACCGGTTCCAAAACTTTCTTCTCCGCATACAGAGCACATCCCTGCATCCATAAGATTGCCAAAAAACTTCCAGCCTGTTGGAACCTGGAACATGGTTGTGTTAGAGAAACGAGACTATGTTACCTAGTTGTGACAACTAGAAGGTAGAGAGAAGCTGCACATTGACATGTATGTACCTCAAAGAACTTCAAGTTCAAGTTTTTTGCAACGACATCAAGAGCAGCAGAGGTCGGCATGCTCCTGAAATAAGAATGTGAATGTTGAAAACTAAACGAGAGAAAATTGTACTATAATAACAGAAATGTATGAAGCCAGAGTCTAGCATTTTCAATCTATGACCAGAAAACACTAGAGAGAAAGAATTCCGGATGCATACCTCGCAACACCTTTCAAACCAGAGCTGAAGTACGGTATGGCCCCAACGGCATTTGCAGCAATTATGGCAACTGAATCCGAAGGAGTTACGAAAAACCTAAGAGGAAGAGATTTTTATTTGGGTTATAGCCGTGAGAGTGGTATACCTTTTACCAAGGATCATGTTAAAAAGAGCAATAGTAGACTACCTTTTACCAAGGATCATGTTACGGTCTGCATCACCATCAGCAGCGGCGCCAAACTCTGGAGGCTCAACCCCATCATCAGTTTTACTCAATCCCATGCGTGCCACGAGCTCCTTAGCATAGGTAAGATTGGGATCCGGATGACCTCCTCCAAAGTCTTTCTGTACATTGTTGTGTTGTGATTAAAAACCATGCTCAAGGTGTACATTTTAAAAAAAAAAATCCATTTAGGTAATAATATTTCCTGACGAGACAAAAAAGATACCTTGGGTGTGCAGTTCAACAACGAACTTTCTTGTGCGCCGAGTTCTTCCACAAAGATGCGGTGTGCATAGGCTCCAGCAACTCCATGCAATGCATCATAGCTTCATGGAACGAAGAGAAACGAAACATCCAAGACATGAGCATATACTGGCAAACAAGCTCAAAAGGAAACCTTTAGGGACGTCTGTAAACTACATACCAGAACGTAAATTTTGGAGACGAAAGCAGTTTCTTGATGGACTCAAAGTCAAAGATTGTCCTGAAGAGTATTAGAATTCTTTTAGCTCACTGAGAACGCAGATTCTGGAATATTTCTCTTAAAAACATAGACCAGAGAGGAAGTAGATTCTGGAATCGTGCTCACAGACACAAAGATGGAAATACTCACTTCATTAATTTAACGTAGTCGTCTGCAGAATCAAAAACTTCAACGTCAAATTTTCCATCCGGTCCCTCAAAGCTGGTTATACCAACAGCAGAAATATCAACCTGTTGCGTTCAATTATAAAGACCAGAAAAACCATAATCAGTAAATACAAGATGAAAAAATGATGATGACAAAAAAAAAAGGATCATTCAGAAATGTTAGTATACACTGGGTAGATCTTCCGCTATTGGGTACTCCTTGATTGTCTTTGTGTTCTCGTAAATCTTATCAGTGATTGATTCAGGAGCTGGCCCACCATTCTCCATATTGTATTTAATTCCAAAATCCTGAGACAGAAGTCAGCATATGGAATCGTAGAAATGAACGTTTACTAAACTGAAGCAAGGATGAAAAGGATCTAAAGTGTGAGTATAAACTGAAAGGAACAAGCACCAAAAGAGTGGGAGCAAGAACAGAACTGACCTCAGTAGGGCCACCAGGATTATGACTTGCTGTTAATATAAATGCTCCTGTGGCTTTAGATCCCTAAAATTAAAGACTCGGATTAGTTTCTCATCACATCATTACATGTAGAGAACATGCATAGCCTTAGACAACAATAGCCAGGAAGAAAAACAACTAGCATGAGGCTAGAGGAAGATATCTCACATCGTCTCCTACTCTTTCACGAATAACAGCTGAGACAGCAGGTGTTGATAGCAGACTGTTTTGACCAACCCACACACGCCTAACACCATTGGCTGCTGCCAGCTTAATTATAATCTGTCCACGTAAAAAACAGAGTTGTGTAAAGTAGCAGCAAAGTATGTTCTATGTGGCGTGAAAGGAACAAAACAGTCAGTTACATAATAGCTTTTACCTGAATAGCCTCCTCCGAATAGTAACGACCATCGCCAGAGACCACAAGCGTCGCACCTGCACAAGTTTAAACATATACTCCTGCTTAGATGAAATTTGCGGTTATCTGCCAAGGCACAGTTATGCAAACCTGAATAACAATCAAAAAGGGGTAAGAGAGATCTTCACCTTTAACTTTCTCTGGAGTAAGAGCATTGAACGTTGCCTGCACAAAATTTTCCAAGTAATTGGGTTGCTTGAACACTTTCACCTGTCAAATTAGACCACCATAGCAATCATTCAGAGAGAGAGTTATGAGATGCCATTTATCAACAGTCTATACGAAACACACAACACTTGAAGGAGTAATTGATCAATCACAGTTTCGTTAAGAAGAACGAATGTTCCACTTCGTTGAATTCACATATTTAAAAGATGGTCCCAAAATGACTGAAGACGGGATATGATCAATGCCTCGGGGGAGATTAGAATCACGATACAACACAAACGCAGACCAGAGCGTCACCATGTTGCCGCACCAGTGCATCGACATTAGCGGCAAACATAATTTCAAATATGTCACATGCGCGGAAACGAAACGATGCCTAATTCAAATCTCGATGAATCAGATCAGATTGCGAAACCAACTTATAATCAAGATCTACAGTTTCTGATGTAACAAAGTAGAAGATCGGATTCGAAATCATGAAAACATAAGGTACAGATTTGAGATATCAATTTCGTTGCGATCAGAACTAGAATTTAAGATAAAAATCCAATTCGAACAAGAGAAGAAGCGAACCGACGAACCTTCTTACGGAGTCCAGAAGTTCCCGGTTTCTGGCCATCGATAGGCGAAGTAGAGACGACGGAGACCTTGAACGACACCATTTTCAATCTGAGAGAAGATGAAGAAGAGAATCGAATAAGCCTGAAAGTGAACGAAAAGGATGATGACGATGAAAAAGCCTTTACGCAGCTTTGAGGAGAGTGACGCTAAACGAGAAGGTGACGCGTGTGGCTCGACTCTTTTCGGCTTTTAGTAATTTTAAGTGGACCTAACTTTAGCCAAAACGAAATTAGTTTAGAACGCTTTTCACGTTTTTTTTTTTTTTACAGCTTTTTTTTTTACACACACACACTGTAAAAAAAAAAATCTCGAGTGTTTAATTTTAGACAACTCTTAAAAATTCAGTTCAATTTTGCTCCCATTACACTGTTTACAAGTAACCACCATTTTTATAAAACTGAAAAAAAAATTCGTAAAGGCGTTAACCAGAGAATATGCTTTTTTATAATGTACGAGGCCAATAATGTGGGACCTCGAGGATTTTATTTATTTCAATAATAACGTAACAAATGAATGAAATTTTCTTTTTTTCCTAAAATCACTACTAACAGCCAAAAAAAAACAGTAATTTGCTTTTTTTTCAAACAAAACTAAAGGCTCGCTATTTACAATCACATGGAACCAGATGTTATGTACTTTTTAATAACTCATAGGTCGTTTCCCGTGAGGATCTGAGCTAGAGCTCGCACCTACGCTTCTCGTGGCGTGCGTACGAGTCGGAGTCCTAGAAGACGCTGGTGTAGCTCCTCCACCTGTTCCTGTGTTGGTATTCAAGTTCGAACCGAACGAGTCTGTACTCGATCCGGTGGTCGACAATGTTCCGACCGAGGATGCTCCTGAAGGACGATGTGTTCGACGACGGTACCTAGACCCCGGGACACCAGGACGCTCCGGTTCTTCTAGATGTCCCGGTTTTCTAGAGAGAAGCAGAGATACTCGTCTCATAGGCGGTCTCTGGTGCGGATCACCTTGAACACAGAGCAGACCGATCTGAACGCAGAGTTTTACTTGCTCCGGATCAGCTGAAGCTGCTATCTCCGAGTCTACCATCTCCATTGTCCTGCCTTTCTTGTACAACTTATACGCCTGTGTCACAAAAATCAGCAAGTCTTTAGCATCGGTTCTATAACGCTGAAGCGAATAAGGACGCAACCCCGTGAGGTATCCGAAGCTTACCCATTCAAGAAGAGTGTGGTCAGGGTGTCTCATACTGAAACTCGAGTTCTTCTGGCCACTGATGAGCTCAAGAACCACGACACCGAAGCTGAATACGTCTGCCTTTACCGATAGAACACCGTGCATTACGTACTCGGGCGCCATATAACCACTGCGCGTACGAGAAAAAGTTAAGTTATTAATCACCGATTGTAACGTGAAACACAGATAGACAAAAGAGACTGTAAATTGAAAGAAAACGAGCTTTTTGAAGAGCATACTTGGTTCCTGCGACACGAGTGTTGACGTGCGTTGCGTCTTCTTGATACAGCCTTGCCATCCCGAAATCTGCAATCTTAGGAACCCATTTCTCATCGAGGAGAATGTTGCCAGCCTTGATGTCCCTGTGGATGATGCAGTTTGGTGCGTCTTCATGGAGGTAGAGCAGTCCTCGAGCAATGCCTGTTATGATCTCAAACCTCTGCTTCCAGTCTATCTCTGATCTTTTGTTGGATTCTGCACCCAAACGAAGCAACCACACAGCGTTAAAGAAAACAGATTCGAAGCCAACGGTGTGAAGAAGCTACATAGTAACAATGAGAAGAGAAAAAAAAAACTTACTGAAGAGGGCCTTGTCGAGGCTCTCATTAGCGACGTACTCATAGACCAAGAGTTTATCATCTCCGTGTGTGCAGTAACCCCAGAGATTAACGACATTGCGATGCTGGACTTTAGCTAACAGCTTGGCCTCGTTCACAAACTCGTTCTTCCCTTGCCTTGAAGCCTGAGCTAGCTTCTTCACTGCTATGTCTCTCCCGTCAGGTAACCTTCCCTATTACACAGCAATCAAAATCCATGAAAGAGCACACACAAAACAAAACCCTTCAGGCTTAAACCCAGAAGACAAGTAAAGATTCTGCGGAAAACAGAGCTACAATCGTTAACGCTGATTATCTCATCTGCAACCCAAAAATGGAAACTTTGACCTCTGGGAATGTGAAAATTGGGGTTACCTTGAAGACGGGTCCGAATCCACCTTCGCCGAGTTTGTGGGTCGGGTGGAAATCTTTGGTAGCGGAAACTAAGACTTGAAATGGGAAAACTTTCTGCTCCAAGGCGGCGATTTTCTCGATATCGTCTTCAAGACCTAGGGTCAACGAAGAAGAAAGCGAGTCAATTTACGAACCCTAATCTTCTGCTGGAAAAACAAAAAACTCGAATCAAACGAGATTTTTTTTTACCTCGATTGGAGTTGCGTTTGAAGGGTTTTATGATATTCTGAAAGAAACTCATGGACTTGGTCATGCCCAGGTTGCTCTTTTGAGAATTCTTAGTGACCATCCCATGGAAAGCAACAGACAGATTTAGAAAGTGGAATCGAATCTGGGAGGGGGATTTCGCGGGAATCCGATCCGGCGGCTTTCGATGTATGTAGTCGCAGATTGAAATTTTAGGAGTGCTTGAGCTTCGACGAAGAAGAAGAAGAAGAAGAAGAAGAAGAAGAAGAAGAAGAAGAAGAAGAAGCGTGTTTGTGATTCTCTTTTTTTTGATGAGATTGTTTTTATCAGAAATCGATGGAGAGTTTATGCGAGGAAGGACGACAGAGACAAAAGTCAAGTCTTTCATTGCACTTTTTTCAACCATATTTGCATTTCTTTTATTATTATTTTTTTGTTCACCTTTTTTTTTTGTTCACCACATTTCTTTTATTATTTTAAATGGTTTTTTTCATGGTTCATGTCTTCATGTCTTCATGTCTTGATGAACTTGATGAACTTGATGATGTATTAGAAAGAAAAAAACGTGGTGATTAGTTTTAATATTTTTGATCTATGGGCATGTGAAAAATTTGATCTAATATCTATTTTTTTTTATAGAATATAGCATGTAAATTAGTTTTACTCATATTGCATGTTTCAAATTCAGGAACTAATTGCCGTTTAAATATATAGCTTTTTCAAGCGATTATACATATAGTTTAGTGGTGTGTATAACATTTGTATTAATGTTGCCGTGTTAGATCATCATTTAAATTCAAACTCAAGAGATGCATGTGTTTTATTAGGAAAATAAATTATTGATTCAAACAAATATTGATTGATATTTATATATTAATTAAGATCTGATTTTTTTTTTCAACTGTTGGAAAAAAAGACGTGCAAATCTGAGTGAAAAGCTTTTGTTTCAATAGTGTGTGGTAGACACACACCACTAGAACAATTATCGAGTCAAAATTAGAATAAATGAAAATAGTTTATGGTTTTTATAAAGAGAAATTGGGTCATATGATCATATAAAATTGAAAAATAGACAAAATAACCATAAAAATCTATGGTTATAGTATTTTGTATATATTCTATAATATATACAAAACTATTCCTCTTCTATTTTTTTTTCCCCTCTTCTTTTTTTGTTCTTCCCTCCTTTCTTTTATTTTCTTTTCCCGTTTATTCATTTTCCCTCATTTTTATCCCTTCTTCTTTCCTTCCGTCTTCTCCCCTATCCTTTCTCGTCTCTTTCTATTTTCTCCTCTTTTCTATATAATTCATAAAAAACAAATATTTTATATATAATATAGTATGGTAATATAAATCGATATAGTATACTATAATTATATATTTATAAATTTTGTTTGAAGGGTAAAATAGACAAATTTTAAGGTTTTTGGTTATTGAATCAATTATAAAATTAGTATGGTTATATATTTTATTTTATAGTGTAATATGGTTATTTCACAAATTAACCCTTTTGTAAATCCGAGAAAATAACTTAGTGACACTAATTACTTATAGAACCTTTAAGTGCCACCTCCGGGTTTAGTAAAGCCAACATGCACCAAAGCTCCATTAAACCAAAGGACTGCGAATTATACGTTAAATCTTATGACAAATCAAATATAAATATGACATCATTAAGGATGACGCCAAATAAAAGTAAAAATTAGGACACCACTAGGCATTAAAGAGTAACATTACCCGAGACGCGTTTCTATTGACTTTATTCGTTCGGTCAAAACAAAGATTATCTTATTTTTCTTATTTTAGACACGAGTCATACGACTCTTTTCTGGTTAAACCAATCACCTGCCTACCTAATTCACATATTATATATGTATTTTGATAAAGTATTATTGTGTATCTCTAAATAAATACCTTTTTTTCCTCTCCCTGGTGAATCTAAATATCTTGATTTTCAAAGTGATCCTAAATCTGTAATAATGAATTTTTTTTGGAGGATACACTTTAGTCTAGAGCTATTTTACAATCCCATAAGAATCTAGGTCCGAAATCGGTGTGTTCTATAGTGAAAATTAAATGCTCACTGAGTCAATGAAACAAAACAAAAAAAAAACATAAGTCGTGAAAATACTTTAAAGTATCCATCAAAAGAAGTTGCAAAATTTGTCAATGAAGCCATTAAATATAACTTACACATTACGCGGCATTTATACTATAGATGTCTCTGTCTAGTGTCTACATATGTGCGTCGTTACTTGAAACCAATGTAAACGTAGCCATAACAAGATTATAGATTCAAATGTACTCACACGTGCGAATCTGTTAAAAATCATTTATAATCGTAAGTCGTAACCGATAACAAAATTATACTCATAATATATGCTCTTCTCAACCATATAAAATTTGTAGTTATACGCTTTTTTCTAATAAAGCTTTTTGTAGTTTTTTCACTATTTTTTGGGGTCGATTTGAATTAAAACGAAACAGTTACACCTCGAGAACAGAGCAGATTTAGCTAAAGCATCTGTCTGAACAGGTAGTGATTTTTTTAACTATCTTGTCATGGATTGATAGAGCAGATCCAGCTAAAGTTCCTTCTTATTTGTTCCCTTGGAATTTTTCTATATTATTATTCATGATAAGGAAGCTTCTGAATCCCTCTCTCCGGTCAACGTTAAACAATCCAAGACTTTTGAAAGCTTAGCTACTAATTGCATCATTTATCGATTGTGAATTTGTGATAATTAGTAAACATTTTTGTCTGGAATATTAGAGCTTTAATGGCCACAGATTGTCAGTGCAATGTCAAGCGAAAATCAAATTAAGAGGCTCAATGACGCAGAATCTTTAGAGAGCACGTGAAGACGTACTTAATGACTAACCCAAAACTCACTAATGATTCTGTTTCATTAGGATTTTTACTGTTAAAACTTTTAAAATAATGACTGTAAAAATTTGGACTATAACTTTGTTTTTTTATTTGTGACTGTGATTCCAAAAAAAAAAAAAACCAACAAAAGTCTCAAATTCTAGCTTTTAGAATAACCACTGAAACATAAACAACAAACAAAAAAAAGAAATTGGGCTGCAAGTGTTTTTAGGAACTTTGAGAGATTTTAAGAAAACAGAAGTGTGATTAGTAAAATTATAATTCATTTTAAAGTTTAAAAGTCTAATCCCCAATCAACTATATAGATCGCCATTTATTATTCCACATATTTTAATTCTCAAGGACTATATAGGATCTTTCAGTGAAAACCAGAATGCAGTTGAAAAGAGCTTATAATATAGAGGAGAGTTTGAAAGAGTCGTACGTACGGTACAACATCATCACACACCAAGTCATGATGCACATGTTTATTTGATTTTTGTGTGTGTTTATATGCGTTTTCAACTATTTTTCTATATTTTAAATGTTTGATTCCGCGTAGTATTATTTCCCAAGAAAACCACAGTGTGGTTTAAGAGAAACTTGTAGGAAAATCTTTGAAAGAGTCGTATGGTACAATATCATCACACCAAAGCAGGCACACGCTTATTTGTTATTGTTTTTGTCAGTTTTCAACGCACATGCTTACTTGCCGAATATGATGATAAACAAACAAAAGAGTAGAGGCTTCAAGTAACTTTGACAAATATCAGTTTCTTAGTTCATCTGTCTTGACTTCTCAGGATTTTCGGGTCGAGTTTATGTATATTCGTTAAAGCCCATTTAGTCAGGCCCTGTTGGGTGACGTGGGACAATTCATATGATGTGTACAATGAGGAATCCAAATTGAAATATGAGACCTAATTAACAATTAAACTAAGCAAGTACAGAAAATTCAACATGCAAATTTTAAATCTGATGAGTTATTCAACATGAAAAGTTACTAACGTGGGAAAATTCATTTGATTTGTACAATGAAGTATGTAAATTTATGATATTATTAATTTTGATAAACACACACACACTATCAAAGAATAATAGGTTTAGAGACACGTTTGTGTAGTAAGCTTTATCAAAGAATAATATTCTCTTTCATTTTTTTTTGTCAAAGTAGAGAATGAGATAACCTTAGAAGTAACACAACCACAAAATTATAGATATGTAAAGTTTTAATATTATATAATGTGGACCATCTATAAGGTGGATTTTTTTTTATTTTAATTTTAAAGATCACATCACACATATATTACTTTCACTAGAACATGCATTTTAATTATGTAAGTAAGATATTACGTACTGACCAATAATGTGATCGAACATATAAAATCGTAGGCATTTAAGTAGATTAAATAGACAAGCGTAGAATAGAGGAAGGTTGTGCACATGATTAAGTGCACATGAGCGTTTGGGCTTTTTAGAGGATCGATCGCCGAAAGTCACAGTTTTCGATCTCTATTATTTTTAGAAATGAAGTACAACCATTACCATACTTTCTTCTTCACCCGCTATAAAGGCTCTCGCCGTGGAACATATTATACATTTTACAATATGGTCAGAAAAAGGGTGTGACTCGAAATTATCTAAAGCAACAAACTTTTTGGTGATTTCGGCAGACGTTTGCGAATCTTTTAACTGTCGCATTATTTGGGTTAGCTGGCTAGCTAGTTGTCATCTGAAAACATATACTATTTTAAAGTTTTTTATGTTCTTTATATTAGTTTAAGAATGTTTCAAGTGACCAGCAACAAATTTCAATGACAAAGTTTGACGATTTTAACAACTAAAAATTCTAATCAATAAAACAAATTAAATTAGTAATTAGTCTCAGACTTGCAGCCACTTTTAATTAATGTATGATTTTTTTCTTTCTATGTTCGTTTGTTGAGCTACCAACCAAATTAATACATTGCTTAGAACCGAATCCATACCAATCTCAGGATAACTTGCATTACAATTTACAACTCCTTCTCTAAACACAAACAGTTATAAAAGACACAAATAAAAAAACCAATACAAATAAAAAAAACGAGTACATGCGTAACTGCTACAAAGTTGCAACCCAAAGATAGAAAGAAAGAAAGAAAATTACAACTGAAGAGAGGTTACTTACCCCACCTAAAAACAAATAATTCTAAACTCCCCCTGAAAGTTCTCAAATGTACAAAAGAGTCCAAAACATATGTACATTAGAGCTGGCATATTGGTAGAAATCATTCCAAGCTCTGCCACAATACAAACATCCAAGAAATCGACAGCTTGCCTTTGGCTTTTTTTATAGCAACATCTCACCTTACTACTCAACTACACTACACTACACTCACATACACTCATCATTATACTTTTTTCTTTCTTTCTATTACCACTCATAAAGACAAAAACAAAGTGAAATTATGCTGACACACCCCTCTTTCTAAAATAAATCTTCAGTTTGTATATATAAAAAAAAAATAACAAAACTTATATAATAAAAAAACGAAGAAATACGGACATTCTCATCTGACACTTTTTTTTCGTCTGAGAATATACTTCATACTTTATCTGACACTTTTATGGCGTTTTCTTCTTCATATAAGACCTTCTTGTTGTTCCTTGTCTCTCAAGCAACACAAGTCACTCCTTGACCTTATTACAAACAAGAAAATTGATTTTTTCTTTTAAGTATGCTTTCTTCGATTGGTTAAAGACTGAAAAGGTAAAACAGAGATTATATACCTGTATGATTTGTTCTGTTCATGTCAACCATATGCATAGAGTGAACCTGAACTCGAACTCAAACTCAAAAAGCCATGTCTTCATTTTCTTTTTTTTGAAAAAGAGCCATGTCTTCATCCTCTCTGACGCGAATAAGATCGATATTCTTGAGATCACGTAGATGTTGCAGAATCTCATGGAGGATATGTACACCTTTGTCCCCTTTTTTTAATGAACCGACACAATGCCTCAAGAACTCTCTATCTGCCTCTAGAGCTTCTAGTCTCTCGTAAAGCTCATCCACTTCTTCTTCCACAGTTACAATCTCACCTTTCTCCTCCGATTCATCAACCCCGTTTTCGTAGTGGTTTCCGTTTTCCATCTCTCCATCGACGGCGTCGAATAGTGGAAGTAGTCTCTTTGACTTGAGGACTACTCTGTGCTTCCCGTTTGCCTCCTTGCCGTGAAAATGCCCGTTTCCATTAACGCTACCATTACTCTCAAACGTTTTAACTTCCTCTTCATCCTCCTCGTCCTCTTCATCATTCAGTGCTGTGAGTTTCTCTTCAAGAAACTTCAGTCTCCCAAGAATCGAAAGCCTCTCTCCTTCGTAATCATCTAAACACTCATCAAGACGAAGCACAACATCGACAGGCGTGTTCACCATCTCATGATTCTCACTATATTTGCAATCCGAGACTCCTCCGTCAACGCTCTTGCGCTGTAACTCACCGTTGTTCTCATCTGAATCGCCATTGTTTCTATACGAATCAACGGAGGAATCTCTCATCCTCCTCCTCAACATCCCCATTTTCTCTTTAGCTTCATACTCCTCCAACCTCTTTCTATACAACTCTAGCTCCTTCTCCAGCTCGGCGTTCTCCTTCTCCCGTTTCACAATAACCTCATTCAACAGCTGCAACGCTTCTTGATCGAACTCGGATTGCTCTTCCATCATCCTCTGATACTGCAACGCCTCCATCTGCATCGCCGCCTTCTCCTCATGCAACCTATTGATCATCGCCATCGTTTCGTTTGCAGCAGTCGCTGACGCGCTCCTCTCTTCCTCCAGCTCCTCGTATAATGCGTTAAGCGCTTTCCTCTCTTCTTCTAACTCCGTCTTCAGCTTGTCCACGGTGAGTACTCCTTCAGGACATTCGGTATTTTCAAGTGATCCTGTTCGGTCTAAGTGAAACATAGCGTTGTGTAGACTGTGCAAGCTTTCCATCGAGCCTGAAGATTCAAGAAGCCGCTCTTCGTTTGTTCTGAACTCCAAAGTATCATTCTCTGTGGAAGAAGTAAAACGCAAAAAAGTATAGATGAATCAACATAAAACTAAAGAGAGAAACATTCGCTGAAGTTGCAATAAATTGTTACTTTGTTACTGTTTTAAGGCAAAAGTTACGGTGGTTGATGAAATAAATTACCATGATGGTTGTCGTCATCGTCGTGAGGAATGAGTTCGTGGGATGGGATATCTCCGATTTGCTCGTGATCAGGAATCTCTGTGCCTATAGAGACCTCTGCGTCTGTTTCTTCGTCGTTCTGCATTTGCTGTAAATCGTCATCATCTACCGAAGAACCTGCGATATTAGTATAAAAATTCATCAAACTCAATCGGAGAAGAAGAGTAGAATGTTTTCGAATTTTCAACTCCAAGGCACCTTGATTCGTCCCAGATTCGTCCGGTTTCGTTTCCTCCGGCGAGGCAAACGCGGAGATTTCCCCGGAGGATAATCCCCCGTCCGCCGCCGCGAAATCATCTTCAGCGCCGAAATCGAGGATGAAGTCTCCGTTAATGTCGGAGATTTCCCGAACTTCCTCGCTCGGTTTGTAGAATTCGACTGGAATCAAATGGCAGTCCTGGTCGTCAATGTAGAACTCGAGGTTTTTCGGCGGCGGCGGCGGCGGCGCGGATTTATCATCCGTTTCCTCAGCGATTTCAGCCTCCATAGCCAGATCCACTTTCCTTTCTTCTTCCTTTTCCGTTTTAACTTCTTTGTTACAGTCGAAACTCGATACATAGCACGAGAACTCCTCATCATCAACATCATCAACATCATCATCATCATCATCCGTAGAATCGCTATGAACTTCCTCTTCTTCTAATTTTTCAGGAGATTGGGTAACAATTTCGATTACTGAATTCTCTTCTTCTTTCCTTTGTTCATCAAGCTTCTCCTCCTCTGTTTCTTCTCCGCCCTTTGTATAGCTTTCTTCCTGAGAATCGATCAAATGCACGGATCCTACGTTTTCTTCTTCCAAGGCGAAGACAGATCGGGACCGTCCGATGAAAAACTGGCCATTGTGGATTTGAACATCATCTCCGATCGGATTAAAGCTATAACCTATATCCCCAAAATCAGGCTCGATCCGAGCACAGCACGACGAAGCAGTCTTCTCTACGCCACGATCGACCAAATCATCGGAGGAGAAGCAAGCTTCTCCAAAACCATTAGATTCGACAGGCTTCGAGCGTACTGTGGATAGCTCGAGAGCGTGATCATCGCAGAGGAGATCTCTGTGGGAAGGAGGTTTACCGGAGGCGTCGAAGAATCGGTCGAGCCTGGAGCAGAATAGGCAAGGACGCTTGAGACCGAAGTAATCGGCGAATCTGAGGATGAAATAAGAGAAGAGAGAGTTGAGAAGAATGAAGAAGATGAGAGACCACTCGAGGAAAGCGTAGACGAGGACGAGAGTGATTCGGTTGGTTTTGCGGTGGATCAAGGTCGCGAATCTGTTGGCCGCCATGGAAGAAGATGAAGAAGAAACCTCGAGAGTAAATTCAGATTGTTGCAGTATTTACAGAGAGAGAGAGAGAATGTGAAAGAGACGAAAGGTGTGGGACGGATTGTGGGAAGCAGAGAAAGACTTGTCAGCTTAAGTAAGTTTAGGCGGAGAGCCGGACCGACCATTTAAGACTTTTATTTTTAAGTCCGATTAGTTGAATTTTAATTTGACAAGCAAAGAAAAAAAAATAGAATCGTTAAGTCCAACCCTAATAAAGATTTTGAAGGGTTAAACAAATGTTCTTAACAATAAAACTGAATAAAAAAATGGATGATAGTATTTTATATTTTAGATCAGTATCTAAAATAAGATACTAGTGTCTAAATTAAGAACGCACATGTGGCAAAATGTGAGTGTACGATGAAAAATTTCAATTTTTAAATTGCATATTTATAATTTATATATTTTCATGTACAGTAGAAACTTTATAAATTAATAATGTTGGGACTTCGATATTTTATTAATCTATAGAGTTATTAATTTATCAGATTTGAATAAAATAAATTGTTTATTAATAATTAATTAAAATAATATTTTCTTTTAAATTTGTAATATTTTTCAAAATTTTATTATAAAATTAGAGATAAATAATAAAAATATTTTAACTTTAGTAAAAAAACAACAATATACTTATATTTAATAGATTATCATTATTATATAATTATAAAAAATTATTTTATATGATATTTATTATTTTATGATATAAATAGAACTATATTTTACATAAAGTTTCAAAAAAAATATTATTTTATTAATTTATTGATTTATATTAAATTTTGGATCGGTCTAACTCAGGATTGAATAAAAATATTGATTTATCGAATTTATTAATCTATAAAAATTTCTACTGTATTATATTTTTGAAAATGTAATATGTTTTAAAAGTTGTTAACAAAAGTTTTTACTTAAATTTATTAAAATATATATATATATATATATATATATATATATATATTTTTTTTTAAGACACCCATTAAAAATGTCTCCATTGTATGTTCTAAAAACAACAAAATATTACAAAGTGTCTTATATACAAAAAACATACAAAATATTAATAATTAATTAATAAGAACTTGCTCTAAAAGTGAAGAAGAAAAAAAAAGTTTACAAGAGGCAAAAGATTAATTAACATGAATTTTATACTTATTATACACTAAAATAAAGGTTGCTAAGTATATAATAATGTATAGGATATTTTTATCATATAGTAAAAAACAAAATTACTCGTTAAAATGTCATTGATTTATGGTTGACCACGACATTAGAATGTTTTGGATTTTACTCCTTTTTTGGTGGTTCTACTTGTTAAATCATCATTTGCATTTATATTTGGATTTTTCAAAAAATATTTGATAAAAGTTACAATAAATCAAAATCTTGATTAAAAAATAGATAAAATCTAAATTGTTTACAAAAAGAATATATATAAATAGTTTTAAGTGAATTTTTATTTATTTTGGCCAGAAGGCGAGTGGATTACAGGATTAGTGTAGCGGAAAGCTACTGATTTATGGATTTATTTTTGTCGCCAAGCTTACTGATTTTATGATTAGAAATTGCTCGTGACGCAATCATACTGTTGAAAATTTAAATTTAATTTTTTTTTAGCTTTTTCAAATATGAAATTTTCAAATAAAGGGACCTCGCCACGTGGCTTATATGACCCCGCCACTCTGCCTTTAGCTTTAGAGAGCAAAAAATCGGTGGGCTCATTTACCTGTGAGGCTGTGACCCACAAGCGCGCAAAGGGCCCACATTTTTAAATACTTCTGAATTCACAGCCAAAAACTCCCACAAGCCATGAGGTCCTTGAACGATTTTAGGAGTTTTGTTGAGAATCAGTTTTGTATTTTTTTTTACAAAGTTTCTCACCCTTAGTGGAAATCATACTGTATTGATCTTGGTTATCTGATAAATCTAATATTTATATTGATGGAAAGAAACTAAAATATCAAATAATGCATATTTTGTTGTTGTTCGTACAATGAAATTGAAAATCGTTACTCAAAAAAAGTGGGTAACAAAATTTCCTTTAGTTTCCTTTTATTTAACACCACTTTACTTCTTTCATTTATTTTGACCAAATGAAAGATAAATAGGCCCGCGAGGAGAAAATAGAAGGACAAGAGACTGTGACAATCAAAAGGCAACCACGATATTTACTTAATCGGATGTATTATTCTTTTGTTGATCGAATAATCAGATTCCTATTTGATCAAGACTCTCTCATATAGGTTTAAAAGAGAACTTCCAAAAGTAATTTTATGATATAATTACTGAGGTAACGATGCAATTTAGTGTCCTGTTGTTTATAGCAATCAGCTAATCACTGTTTCTCTTTTTTTAAAAAGAACTAAAATTGCAGATGTTTTTGCTATGGTTTCAGTGTTGTTTCAAGGAAAGCACTTTTGACATGTTTCAAGGAAAATAATTGAACAAGGGAAAATGCCACTTCCCCTAAAACATGGTTGATAGAACATAACATTTAGACCCCAAAAAAAAAAAATGGTTGACAGAACATTTTGGCGATATGCTGACAAAGAATAATAAGAAATCAATGGTATACTATTTATTTTTAAAGTAAGCATTAATTGCCAATAACCAAAAACAATACATTTTATAGTGTGTGTCAACAATGTAATAGAAGATAGTGAAATAGAAAGAGCAACGAAAATGGAGTATATTTTTTTTTAAGAAAGAGAGAAATAGTAATAAAAGAGTATATATGGACCGGTCTAACATTATGTGCCATTTTTTTTTATATAATTCACATCAACACCGAGTTCATTAGAGCGTGTCCATTTTATAAATATCGACGGAACGTTTCAAAATCGTATTGAATATTATTAGAATATTATTCTGTTCGTTAGCAGAATGGTTCACATTGATATATCACATGGACATACAAATTTTGACTTTTTCGAAACACACATTACAAATAAATAAGTATTTGATTTGAGCTCGTGTCCTTGTCAAATATAATTAGCGTGTTGGCGAAGAGATAATCATCACCAAATGTATTCAGTGAATAATAATAAATAATATTATATTTATCTACTAATGTCATACTTTATTATAGAAGGAATTAACCAGATATCAGTAATGAAAATATATTAACATATTAAGCAACAAAATATGTTGTGATTTCAATTCCATTAAGCAACAAAATAATTTTGTGAATGGAAAGGGCCATGTGGTGTGGGCGTGGCTCATACAAAGTTTAATGACACCTCACTGTTTTTTTCCTAATAATTTACTACGTCAGAGTAAAAAATATTTCCATTTTTGTTTAAATTGAAAACATTCATTCCTCTATAGTTTTCAGATTCTAAGCTAAATATAGGTACGTGCACACATATTTTTCTACATCATTTCTTGATCTTTAGTTAATTATTATTGGTGTATATATTAATACACCAGGGAAGAATAAAGAGGTTTAATGTCCGTGAAGATGTGAACCGCTCCTAATCAAATACAAATATGAATTCGAGTAATTAAAAACAAAATTGTATTACTTAAGTTGATTATACTATAGATTTATTATATCTAAGCAAAAAGAAAAAAACAAGAAAGAAGAAGCGACCCCAATGATTAACATTCGTCGGCTGAATCAATATTGAGATTTTAAAATTTAAAATGGTGGTGGGGTTTGCAGCGTAAGCTTTTAGGTTAAGCCTTTAACATGTGATTAACTTTCTGCAACAGTAATCAGTAATGGCGCTCCAAAATCTCACAAAAGAAGCAAATGATTTCGACACTCACTTAGGATTCTACAAAATGTGAAAACTTATAAGAACTGGTTAGTCGCTTCCATGAAAAAGTGTTGTCGTACGCTTTATTTGAGAATGGAGAAAGGGCTTAAATATATAATTTGCTTAACCGATTCTAATTACCGGCTCAAAAGCCCCTAATAACAGAAACTTCTCGACTATCAATATCTTTTTTTTTTTTATATATAAAAACCTAATGACTCTTTGATATTGGAAATCTAAAGGAATGAGTCTAGTGAACAAAAAAAAAGGACTGAGTCTTATACTACTAAGAGAAATGGTATGGGATTAAATCGACAAGTACTGCAACAAAGTGAAAGAATTAATATAAATCAATATATAATTACATGTATCAAGAAGAGATTTAAATAAGATAAAATAGAAAGAGTGAAAATTGTGAGAGAAATGATGGTGAATTTGCAGAGTGGTGGATCTAGTGGCCCCTCTTTTATTCTTTATCAAAAACCACTATATCATTTCTATTTATTTTTCAATAAACAGAATAATCTTCAATTTCTCAATACATTCGATTTATCAAAGAGGCTATGCGTTTGATAACTAAAAGAAAAAAAAACACTTGGAATTTTCCTCAGATTTTTTTTTAACAAAACATCATAATATTATTTTTAGCACTAACAAGCTATTATAAATGAAAAAAACATTACAATTATGCAACAGTGTTCTTTTTTGCCAATTTTAACCAAAAATAACTTTATTATTCAACAAATAAGCCCTTTACTCACGGAGTTTCAATCATTATAAAAACCAAAGCATCCAAGATGTCCTGTTCCCCTCAAACAACTTTTAGGGTTCCTCAGAAATAGTGCAATAGTGGACATAAAGCATGTTCTGTGATATGGGAGATTCATGTCATGTTCGCCGTTTCAACATCCTTGTAAGAGAAGACATTTTAATGTCTGTGTCTGTGTCTCTACTCTCTACTACGAAGAACATAAAACAGACAGTTTTTATGTGGCTATAGAATACTATTTCCATGGGTTTTTGTTACAAGTCTTAACACAATAAAACCGTGAAATTACGGAAAAAATTAAGCTGTAGAATAGCTGAATATAGAATAGCGAAATAATTATTTTTTATATGATTGGATAAATTATGCGGAATAACGGAATGGTGGAATGACAGAAAATATACAAAATTAAATTTTCATAATAATATATTTTACATATAATTTGATATAATAAAAATTAAAATATTAATTATTATAAAAAATATAATTTTAATATAACTAGAAAAAATAAAAACTTTTATTGTAATTATTTATTTTTATTTTATTTTCATTTACTATAAAATATATAAATATATTGCAAAATTTAATCTACATATATAATATGATCATTATATAAATATATGTAGTATAAATATATTTATTTAAATAATAAAATATAATTAATTATATAATTAAATGATATAAAATATTGATTCCGCAAATAAGCCACACTTTGCTTCGATTGGTAACACAATACTCTTATTGTTAACACAATAAAACTGCGGAATGGCGGAAAAAATTAAGCTATAGAATGGCGGAATGCAGAATAGTGGAATAATTATGCGGAATAGTGGAATGACAGAAAATATATAAAATTAATTTTTTATAATAATATATTTTATATATAATTTAATATAATCAAAAAATAAAATATTAATTATTATAAAAACATAATTTTAATATAATTATAAAAAATTAAAACTTTTATTATAATTATTTATTTTTATTTTTATTTTTTTATTTACCAATATTTAATCTACATATATAATCTGATCATTATATAAATATATAGTATAAATAAATTTATTTATATTTATCTAAATAATAAAATATAATTAATTATATAATTGAATGATATAAAATATTAATTCCGCAAATAAGCTAACTGAAACACATTTTTCTACTTAATCAAATTTTTTTTGTATTTTTTTAAGTATTTTCGCTATTCCACAGAACTCGAATTTTGACGTTTTTCCGCAAATTTTTTTTATTATCAAAATTATTGCGTAATCGCATTTTTTCACCATTCTACCATTTCATAAAATTTATCGAGTGAAAAAATTATCAATCACTCGAAGAAGATAACACACTATTCCTTCTTCTAGCTCAAATCAAAAGTTTGTATAAGTCCTCAGTTTTGATATTTGATTTCTTGCGACTGTATGTACTCTGCATTCACATGGACACAATGTACTGACTTACGCAGACTCTTTTCTTACATCCCACAACCAATTAGTTTATATTTTTCTCTGTTCATTTCATTTTCGTGTTTCACAAACACAACAGTCAGTAGTAAATTAAACTGATGATGCAATTTGTTACAAAAGATGAAATGGTATCGTTCACCAACATACTAGAGTGTATTCAATAAAGTAATCAAACCGAATGTAATCAAAATTTATCTTAGATATTAAGGAAAAAATAAACATTTTTCAAGTACAGAGGCATTCCCATACAGATGCAACAGGATGAACAGAAAAAGAAAAAAAAAAAAACATAAACAAATCTTTCCTACACGAAACGGTGAAAAAATAAAATTTGAAGCTTTAATATGACACTAACACTTCTTGTTGGAGCAACGAAGTTACCTGATTGATGCCTTTGCTTAGACGATTCTCTTCTTTAAAAAGTAAGACAATCTCTCTTGAGCGGTAACCCTTCCCGGGTCTGATCCTCAGTCAAGTTTCACCGAAGAAAACAAGTAATGCACGAACCAGAAAGAAGAGAGGAAACCAATAGTTCCGGTCGCGAGCATGATAGCCAAGACCATGAAGAGCGAGTAGCCGAGATAAAGAGTCGCTGAGACGGGTCCGCTCAAGCTCTGGAGGTCGAAGACGAGGTAATTAATGGAGTATATGAAGATGTACAATGCAACGGATCCTGATGCAAAGAAGGATTTCCACCACCATTTATAGTCTTCTATGCATAGGTGCATGTATGTCAGCACCAAGGAAACCTCAGCGCACACTACCACAAGAAGGATCATGACAACAAAAAGGAACCCGAAGACGTAGTACACACGGCCAATCCAGATGCTGGACATGATGAAGAAAAGCTCAATGAAGAGAGTCCCGAACGGAAGTGTTCCAGCGCCAAGAACCAGAAGCCACGATGGGTATCTCTGAGCTGGGATTTCTCGGGGAATCTGGTTGGTTCGAACCGGGAACTCAATCTGAGGAGCCTTGGCTCCAAAGTAACCGCCGATAAGAGTGAGAGGAACAGAGATGCAGAACCACAGAAGGATGAGGATGACAAACAGAGAGAATGGAATGGCTCCTGTACTGTGGCTACCCCAAAGAAGAAAGTTCAGCGTTGTAAGGATCAGAAACGCAATACCCGGGAAAAAGCAAGCAGCTTTCCATGCAACAGACATCCATTTATGCTGTTCGCCACAGCCAATTGTCCTGTAGAGACGAACAGCGACATAACCAGCTGCAATGCCAAGAATCATGTAGAAGAAGAGCATTCCCGTGATAAGTGTTCCGCGTGAAGCCGGTGACATGAAGCCAAGAGCAGCAAACAAGATAGTTACAACAGCCATGCCAAGAATCTGAACACCATCACCAACCATGACACACAAGAGCGAGGGGTTTGATGGAGCACGGAAAACATCACCCACGACAAGCTTCCACCCAGATAACTCTTGGTTCATCTGAGCTTGAGCTTCCTTGTCCAGCTCCTCATATGTGGTCAAATCCCGCCTAACAGTTCTCAAGAATATCACAAAGACGATACCAGCCAAGAAAGTGATCACCATAAGTGAGTTCAAGATGGAGAACCAGTGAACCTTTGAACCTTCCATCTTCAAGTATGCATCCCACCTCGATGGCCACTTGATGTCACTCTCCTCGAAACTGACTTCATAGGAGAAGACAATGGACTGGCCTTCCTTGACAGACATGGATACACTAGTAGAATCACATCTGATCGGAGTTGGGTATCTCTCGTACATCTCCAGCTTCTTCTTCGGGTCAACATTGTGAGCAAAGCTACAAGGAACCACCTCAAACCCAACAACCATATACCCGAGCTCATCCGAATTTTTCTTCTCGCCCGTCGGAAACACCTCAGCTGCATCCCCAGTACCCATCACACCAGCAAGATTTGCCTCTTCATATTTATGAACAAGAACCTTAAACTTCAAGTGGTTGAACACATAGTAGACATCCTGAACCTTGATCCCAACTGGGTACCCAGTCCACCTCAGAACATACCCATCCTTCTTAGTGTACCGATTCGCAGGCAAATTGTCAAGCATCGGGTTAACTTGATACATCTCATCGATCCTCTCCTTCAAGAGTTTAAAGCTATCACCAGAGAGTTTCTCAGTCTGACATAGAAAGATCTCACTCTCATTCTTGAACATTTTAAACCTATAAGGAGAGTTCTCGATCCGATCTCCCATAAGAAGCTCACCTAGATTCTCAGCACTATCCTTGATTCCTTCAGAGGGCTTACAAAAGGGCAGACTATAATAGCTAAAAGGCATCTCCGTCTCGAACGAAGTAAGAGAGTTCACCTTCACATTCAGATAATCACCAATTTGATAGTTATGAGGATAGCTCCCTGGAAGGTAAAACCCAAAACTTGATTGAATCACGGAGAAAACCGCAAGCACCCAGATCCCGGATCGAACCATCGAGCTCAAATCTGGATAAACAAAACTTCGTCAGATCTCGATCGGTAACAGTTTAAGAAGCTCAGATCTTATGGAATGCATCATATTACCTTGCCCAAAACCATAAGCTGTCACTCTAGGTCGATATCCTTCCAGATCGATGCTTCTTCGATTCTCAGATTGCTCCCCTAACGAACGGAAGACGTTATCGCCGCCAGTCGCCGCTTGATCCGCCGGTTTCTGCTTCCGATTGTGTTTCGGGTACACGGCTTTCTTCAATCCATTGTACTCCGCAGATTGGATCGGATCCATTAGCTTTTCTAAAGTAGTTCTCTCTCTCCGGCGTCAGAAATAGGAGACAAGACGAGATTTGACCGGAGTGAAAATTGTTAATACCAACTTTTTCCGGCTAAAATGGTTAATACAAGTATATAGTATGAATGGAAAAGAGGTATAATAAACGGAAATAACTTTATTGTCATTATGGGAAAGAAATGACAGAAGGAAGATATAATTTATCTTAATACAAAAGTAAACAGTTTAAAAACAAATTTGCAACCAAATTTCCCATCTTTATTTTATTTTATTTAAACCCATCTTTTTTTAATAAGATTCTGGTTTGATAATTATTTTTTAATTCTCAATTTTTCTACTCCAATTTCTTTCTTATAGATTCTTGATTTAAATCTTAAAATATTTAGAATATACTACTACATAGTATAGTTTTATCATTATAAATTCAATTTTAATGTAACTTGTTGTTATTATTAAAGTTTAGCTATCGGAAAAACGTGTATTGAATCGATACACATATCATTTAAAAAAATTCTGATTTTTTTCAAAAAAAAATTAATATTTTTATCGTATATATATATCATTTAAAATAGCAGAATTTAACTATTACAGTCGACATTGATTTACACACTAATTATTTAGTTTGAGTAATTAATTTAAATTTATTTATAAGTTAAAGTATAAAAACACAAGGTTCAATTATTTATATATGAAAAGGCACCATTTATTTTGTTTAAATTGAAATAAGCTCTTGTAAGAGAAGACATTTAAAATGTATTTGTTTATGTCTCTCTACTCTCTATTGTAAAAGAAAATAAAACGGACAGTTTTTGTGTGGCTGAAGAATTCTGTTTCCATGGGTTTTTCTCACTTCAATGACATTTTTGGGCGACTAACCATAAATCTACTCTGTTTCGATGACATCATTTTTCCCTGGAAAGGTCTACAAAAACAATAATTATCCTCCAAAAAAATCATTGAAATTGCGACATCCTCAGGATCGATTTTTTGCAAACAAAATTAGGAAAATTTGGATTGAGATCTGTTGTTTTTATTTCATTTACAAGAAAGAAAAAAACTACTACCAAAGTATATATGCCACACCAAGCGAGGGACCCTTTTATGACACGTGGAATTTATGTTATACAGACGAAAGTAAATCCAAAGTTTGTCCAGACTCTCTCTGACCCTAATACGTACTACTCTCTCTGCCATTAGAACCAATCTCAAGAGATAAGGAAAAAAAAAAGCTTTCACAAGCAAGAAGAGATAGAGAGATGAGCCGTTGCTGCTCTCTTGGGCTCTGTGCCCCGAACCCTCCTTTGTCCTCTCTCTCCTCAAGGCCTCGCAGTGTCAAAGCTCCTCTCTGTATCACATCTCACGCCACACCCAACTCTAACACCGATTCTCTTCTTCAAGTAAGTCTTCTCTCAACTTAGTTTAAAAATAATCTCTACTTCTTGTGCTTTGACTATCATTGTTCACTACAGAATGTTGCCAAGATAAGAGCAAAGACCGGAGATTTCTTTGGAGCAAAGAAGACAATCTTTGCAGCTCAACTAGGGGCAGTTCTTGCCACGGTAAGAACCATATGAAACTATGAGGAAAAAAACTGCAGTAATCTAAAAAACAAATGTTTTAGTTTCTTTCAGATCGATCATCCGGCGTTAGCAATAACAGGAGTCAACCACGAGCAGGAACTAAGCAGCGTTGTGCTCGATATCGGGATCATATCCGTTTGGTACTTCCTCGTAATGCCAGTAAGTTTTGATTATATCTTCAAAGATTTATATATGGTTCATGGTATCTGATTCTATATATACTATGGTTGTTAGCCAATCATCATGAACTGGCTGAGAGTAAGATGGTACAGAAGGAAGTTCTTTGAGATGTACTTACAGTTCATGTTCGTCTTCTTGTTCTTCCCCGGGTAAGCATCAGTAACGCCATTACTTGCATCTGTATAGTCCTTTACTAAAGTGAGCTTATCTTTGCAGGCTACTGTTGTGGGCACCGTTTCTCAACTTCAGAAAGTTCCCAAGAGATCCATCTATGAAGTATCCTTGGGACAAACCAAAAGATCCTTCCTCTATCAAGAACGGTTACCTCAAATACCCATTTGCAAAGCCAGAAGACTACGACTACTAAAACCTCGATTTCACAAGTTTCTTTTGATATCTTGCGACTGTGTATATATACTATGCATCCACATGACTTGTGCAGGCTCTTTTCTTATATCTCACAACCAAATAGTATATATCTCTTTGCTCACTTCATTTTGGGTTTCACAAACACATACACAACAGTCAGTAGTAAATTAAACTGATGATGCAATTTGTTACAAAAGATGAAATGGCATCGTTCCCCAACATACTAGAGTGTTTCTATTAAGTAATCAAACCGAATGTAATTAAGATTTATCTTAGATATTAAGGGAAGAATAAACTTTTTCCAAGTTCAGAGGCATTCCCATACAGATGCTACAAGATGAACACACAAAAAGAGAAAAAAAACATAAACAAATATTTCCTACACGAAACGGCGAAAAAAGAAAGTATGAAAGCTTCAATATGACACTAACACTTCTTGTTGGAGCAACGAAGTTACCTGATTGATGCCTTTGCTTAAACGATTCTCTTCTTCCAAAAGTAAGACAGTCTCTCTTGAGCGGTAAGGGACTATCCTCAGTCAAGTTTCACCGAAGAAAACAAGTAATGCACGAACCAGAAAGAAGAGAGGAAACCAATAGTTCCGGTCGCGAGCATGATAGCCAAGACCATGAAGAGCGAGTAGCCAAGATAAAGAGTCGCTGAAACAGGTCCGCTCAAGCTTTGGAGGTCGAAGACGAGGTAATTAATGGAGTATATGAAGATGTACAATGCAACGGATCCTGATGCAAAGAAGGATTTCCACCACCATTTATAGTCTTCTATGCATAGGTGCATGTATGTCAGCACCAAGGAAACCTCAGCGCACACTACCACAAGAAGGATCATGACAACAAAAAGGAACCCGAAGACGTAGTAGACACGGCCAATCCAGATGCTGGACATGATGAAGAAAAGCTCGATGAAGAGAGTCCCGAATGGGAGAGTTCCAGCGCCAAGAACCAGAAGCCAAGATGGGTATCTCTGAGCTGGGATTTCTCGGGGAATCTGGTTGGTTCGAACCGGGAACTCAATCTGAGGAGCCTTGGCTCCAAAGTAACCGCCGATAAGAGTGAGAGGAACAGAGATGCAGAACCACAGGAGGATGAGGATGACAAACAGAGAGAATGGAATGGCTCCTGTACTGTGGCTACCCCATAGAAGAAAGTTCAGCGTTGTAAGGATCAGAAACGCAATACCCGGGAAAAAGCAAGCAGCTTTCCATGCAACAGACATCCATTTATGCTGTTCGCCACAGCCAATTGTCCTGTAGAGACGAACAGCGACATAACCAGCTGCAATGCCAAGAATCATGTAGAAGAAGAGCATCCCCGTGATAAGTGTTCCGCGTGAAGCCGGTGACATGAACCCAAGAGCAGCAAACAAGATAGTTACAACAGCCATGCCAAGAATCTGAACACCATCACCAACCATGACACACAAGAGCGAGGGGTTTGATGGAGCACGGAAAACATCACCCACGACAAGCTTCCACCCAGATAGCTCTTGGTTCATCTGAGCCTGAGCCTCCTTGTCCAGCTCCTCATATGTGGTCAAATCCCGCCTAACAGTTCTCAAGAATATCACAAAGACGATACCAGCCAAGAAAGTGATCACCATAAGTGAGTTCAAGATGGAGAACCAGTGAACCTTTGAACCTTCCATCTTCAAGTATGCATCCCACCTCGATGGCCACTTGATGTCACTCTCCTCGAAACTGACTTCATAGGAGAAGACAATGGACTGGCCTTCCTTGACAGACATGGATACACTAGTAGAATCACATCTGATCGGAGTTGGGTATCTCTCGTACATCTCCAGTTTCTTCTTCGGGTCAACATTGTGAGCAAAGCTACAAGGAACCACCTCAAACCCAACAACCATATAACCGAGCTCATCAGGATTTTTCTTCTCGCCCGTCGGAAACACCTCAGCTGCATCCCCAGTACCCATCACACCAGCAAGATTAGCCTCTTCATATTTATGAACAAGAACCTTAAACTTCAAGTGGTTGAACACATAGTAGACATCCTGAACCTTGATCCCAACTGGATACCCAGTCCACCTCAGAACATACCCATCCTTCTTAGTGTACCGATTCGCAGGCAAATTGTCAAGCATCGGGTTAACTTGATACATCTCATCGATCCTCTCCTTCAACAGTTTAAAGCTATCACCAGAGAGTTTCTCAGTCTGACATAGAAAGATCTCACTCTCATTCTTAAACATTTTAAACCTATAAGGAGAGTTCTCGATCCGATCTCCCATAAGAAGCTCACCTAGATTCTCAGCACTATCCTTAATTCCTTCAGAGGGCTTGCAAAAGGGCAGACTATAATAGCTAAAAGGCATCTCCGTCTCGAACGAAGTAAGAGAGTTCACCTTCACGTTAAGATAATCACCAACTTGATAGTTATGAGGATAGCTCCCTGGAAGGTAAAACCCAAAACTTGATTGAATCACGGAGAAAACCGCAAGCACCCAGATCCCGGATCGAACCATTGAGCTCATATCTGGATCAATACATTAAGAACAAAACTTCGTCAGATCTCGATCGGTAACAGTTTAAGAAGCTCAGATCTTATGGAATGCAGTATATTACCTTGCCCAAAACCATAAGGCTTCACTCTAGATCGATATCCTTCCAGATCGATGCTTCTTCGATTCTCAGATTGCTCCTCTAGCGAACGGAAGACGTTATCGCCGCCATTCGCCGGTTTCTGCTTCCGATTGTGTTTCGGGTACACGGCCTTCTTCAATCCATTGTACTCCGCAGATTGGATCGGATCCATTAGCTTTTCTAGAGCTTCTGGATAATTCTCTCTCTCCGGCGTCAGAAATAGAGAGACAAGACGAGATTTGACCGGAGTGCAAATGGTTAATATCTTCTTTTTTTTCCGGCGAAACTGGTTATTATATATATGAATGGAAAGATGGCATAAATAAACCTGAATGAAATCTGTCGACAATGACAATATGCTAACAATGCAAACAATAATAAAAAAAATAGTATCAAACTATACTATGTTTTCAGTCTAGCATTGTTAGATTTTGTACTGTATTTGATAAAAAAAAAATTTCCTTAAACATTTATATTGGGTTTTTTAATATTGGTTGAATTGTAGTTTGTAATGCCTTTAAACATTAAAATTTTTAAAATTTAATAATTAATATAGTTCAAAATTTTCAAAAAAAAATTATTTTTCCAAATTTTCTAATTCAAAATATGTTATCTTAATTTTCTATACTGTTTTTATCTAATTCCTTTATGGTAATTGTTTTTTTTAATATTTATCTCATATTCATAGATTTCTGTCTTAAATTCCATTTTTTTTAAAATAAACTATTACAAAGTATCACTTTAGCAAATTGAATTCCCATGTATCCTATTGTAATGTCACATAACATGAGCAAAATTATCGAAAAACGTGTTTTGGATCAACAAAATTATTAAAATTATAAGCTGGATATATATATTGTTTTGTATTTTTAGAAAATTAAAATAAAATTCTAATCTTTTTTGAATTTTTCTAAATTTTTAAAATTATTCAAAATTTTTAAGTTTTTTTATTTATCATTTCAGTCAGTCTAATTTAATGGTTAATTGATTTATGATAAATACTTATTTATGCAATCATTATTTAGTTTAGATAGTTAATTTGAACTTATATGAGTTTGGAAATGAAAACAAATAACTTAATTATTTATGTATAATAAGACACAACTGATTTTTCAGATTGAAATATACCTTTTATTTACTATGAATGAGTAGAGAAAGATAAAACAATATTTTTTTAATCCAAAATTGCCTTTGATACATACTATTTTTTTGTTTTATAATATAAGTTGTTTAAGATAAAAACACAAAAAATGAAAAATCATATTTTTGTTAAAAAATATATTATTAATAAATAAACTAAATATAAATAATTTAATTATTAAAAATTATGCAATATAATGATTATTTACACAATATTTAATAACGAACATAATAATATTAAGATATTTTGTGAAATAAAAAAAACAATTTCCAAAACAACTTATATAATAAAACAGAGAGAATCGTAAAAAACAAATTATGATTTGGCTTTTCTTTTTCTTTTTAATAACGTTTTTAAGTTTAATCATTTAAAAATGATTAGTGATTTCTTTTCTCCAAAAACTAGAAAAGAGTAAACAACAAATTTGTTAAAAAAATCTATAAGCAGCCTCTGTTTTAAATATTTTTTTAACCGAAAATATAGATATATTTCATATTCTATTTTCACCATGCGTTCATCAAATCAACGAACTCGATACGATCAACAGAAATAACCTTATTGTCATTATGGGAACGAAATAAATTATCTTGATACAAATTAAACAGTCTAAAAGCCTCTTCTTCTACAAACTTGCGAGCTTTAAACAAAAAACTCTCAAATTCCCAACTTTTGTGATTATAAAAAAAAAAAAACGAAAACCCTCATTATTTTCTAGTCAAGCTTTTCAAAATTCTGTATCTCGGAGGAGCGTAAAAAGGCTTTAACTTTTTTAAAGTAAATACTCTACACCGACGATAATAAACCAGAGTTTACCTCTGCGCTTATTCGCCCTGAAGCTGTTTCTGTTTCTCTTCTCTCTTAATTCTTCAACGCTGTGGTGATTGCATTATAGTATTGTTGCAGCTCCAGAGAGTTCACCAGGTTCCTCAGCTCGTTTGCAGCCTCCGGGTTCGAAGACAGAACAACCGCAGCAGCGGCTCCCACACCAGCTAGAATCACAGCAGTAATGGCTGTTCCTTTGAGGCAGCCACTTCCACGTGAGAGTCTCCCCGAGATCACTTTGCACGACTTGTCAGCTTCTTTGTAAAGAGAAGCTTTGGCTCCTCCTTCAGTGATGGCTTCCTCGTTCTGAAAAACATCTCACAACATGTCAGATCAGGTAATGAAATCACACATTTGTTAAGAGCTTAGAAGAGTTATTACCTTAAGCCTGAACCTCTTCATAGTTTGGTTGAGAGTGAGAGCATCACTCGGTGATGATGATAGCTTGACGGAATGCTCCTTCCATTCGTTAACCAGCGTTTTAAGAAGAGCAACACTAGCGTCCAGATTCTCCTTGTAGAGATTGTCCCAATGCTTGCAGCAATCTACGTTTTGGGTCACAGCCCATAGAGCGATTCCTGTAGCTTCCTTGGCTAAAACAGGGTTCCCTGTAACAACCATGTGAACATTAGAAACCTATCTAAACTCAAGAGACGGATTCTTCAAGGTTTTTTTTCTTGTTACTGATTTACCTTCTCCAGCTAGTTTCAGAGCAAAAGTGAATATCTGATGTGTGGCTTGTTTCATCGCCTTGCTTCCTGGTGCACCAGCAAGAGCAACTTCCTTCAACAAGGGATATATTGCCTCAAACCTCTCTGTAGCCTGTGTGCATACATACAGAGACAATGCTTGTGATCAGACTCGACAAAACGAATCAAAGGTTCTGTTTTTCACAAAACTTCCAAACTTTAACTACGTGTACCTTCACTCTTGCGGATGAAGAAGGGAATGTAAGCCGCACCAAGATCTCAAATGAAGGAGGTGGGATCACTCTCTCTCCCTTCCTAACAGCTCCGTTTACAAGAATGGTCCGAGCCTTTGGATTCGACAAGATTCTAATACGAAAAGTTGCGTAAAACAAAAAGATCAGATGACTGCTAAATAGCAAACGAGATCACAAGAAAAAAAATTGTTTTTTTGAGTTTTGACTCACTTCTCAACCAACTGCAGAATGAGATCTCTTGACTGCGGGTTGCAGTTCTTATTACCGACCACAGGTAACAAGTTGTGTCCCCATGCATATAAGCCGACAGATAAATCACCCTGAGAGGCCTGTTACAGTTCACTAAATTTCAGAACCACAGATTCACACAAACTTTTGGTCCTCATTTACATTAAGAAAACAATAAAAAAAAACCTGAGCCATCATCCAAACTGCAACAGGAAGCTTGTCCTGTCCTTGATACTTAGGATTCTCTCTCAGAGTCGGCAATACAGTAGTCAACACTTCAGGTTTCCTACGCAATACCATTGCTAATGCAACAAATATCGCCACCTAACCGTAGAATAGATAGAACAACATGAAGTTAGTCAAACACAAGTAACTAGATACGTCACACAAGCAGACATTCATAGGCTAAGCGACCAAACTGATCGAGAGAAGGTTTTTTTTCAAAAGTACCTGACATTTGGAAGAAGTGTGTTGTTGAGCACCTTTCTTCCCACCTTTGGCACCTCCTTGGTGTGCTGCCAAATCTGTGAGAATGCAGTCAAACGCCCACAAGACAAACGCTCCCAAGGCTTCAATTGGTCGTTTGTTGATCCAGTCGACCGATGTTTTGTAGACTGGCTCGGGAATGTGAGATAACGGAACCTGTTGATTATAACAAGATGAATCAGTCAGCTTCATGAACCTACTCCTAGATTTTGATTCTAACATCTCACAAGAAAAAAAAACGTGAAAGAGAATAGCTCACATCGATCAATTTGGACAAAGGAGACTCTTTGAACATCTTCACCCATGGAAACTGCACAGATGATACTCCGGAGAGTGCTCTCCCAAAGTAATCGGCAAATCTCATTAGCTGAATATCCGGTTGAGTCGCGTACAAATCCTATTAGCAAAAGAACAACAACAAAAAATTGAATTTTGATTTGTGGGTTTCGCGATTTAGATCAGAAGTGATCGAGCCGGGTTTCAAAGTCGCGTGCACATACCGATGCTTCGACGAGGAAAGCTTCGAGATTTGAAGGATCGATCTTCGCCGCAGCTTCAGGCAGAGACACTTTCGGCTTCTTCTCCTTCTTGGGTTTCGGCTTTTTAGCTGCCTCCGCCTTCAGATTCTGCTCATTTATCGCCGCGATCTCATCGTCGCTATCATCGACCTCGTCGCCGTAACCGTTGGATCGGCGTTTGGATCTCGCCGCGCCAGCACCGTCCGAATCATCCTCCGCATCGATAGCAGCCATCTTCGCCGCGAGGATCCGTTTTCTTCGATCCTCAGCTTGCTCCTCTAGCGAACGGAATACGTTATCGCCGTTAGATTGGGTTCCGTTAGAGACAGTCTTGCCGGAAACGGCGCCATTCGCCGCTTGATCCGCCGGTTTCTGCTTCCGATTGCGTTTTGGGTACACGACTTTCTTCCACCCATGGTCGACGTGGGAGCTACCGTTGGAGATCTCGAAGCCATTGTACTCAGTAGATTCGATTGGATCCATTAGCTTTTCCAAAGTTTCTCGCTTTTTGCCTTTAATTTCTCGATAATTCTCTCTCTCCGGCGTGAAAAACAGAGACCAAAGTAGAAGACGAGATTTGACCGGAGAGAAAATGGTTTATACTTTATATACCATGAAATGAATAGAGTAGAGGAAGATGAAAACAATATCCTTGTTTTTTTTTATCCAAACTACGAAATTGCCATTGATATATATAAAAACAGATTTTTTTTGGTCAAACAGATTATGAACCAATCCTTTGGGATTTGGTTTTTTTTTTCCCTTTAATCACGTTTTTAAAAAATAAAATAAAAATCTAGAAAATCTTAATGAAAAAATATATCTCAGCCTCTGTTTAATATTTTCCTTAATTGAAAATATATTTTCACCTTGCTATTTTCTGATTGGTTTTCCTCTTCAGATTGGAAAAATATCCTCGATGATTTTCTCAAAACAAACAGAAATCCAATCTTTTATTTTTAATATATTATTTCATTATTTCAGTGACAAGACTTTCCACTAGCATATCAATTTTCGCATAGCAAAATCAATATTTGGATGAGAATCCAAATTTCGGATAATGTTTCCAAAGTTGGATCTTCCCTTTTGTCAACAAAAAGATCTTAGTATCTTCAAACCATGATATTTTTTTGTCTATATTTTTCAAAGAATGATTTATATAATAACTTTTTATATTCGTTATGTTTCAATATAAATATCATTTTTAATAATTTTCATGTGAGGGATATGTTTCAAGTCCCGCTACAAATAAAATTAAAAAAATAAATAGATAGAACTTTTTATATAAACAACAAAAAAGCAATACATATTTAAAGGTGCAACTAACACCAACAACATTTTTTTTATGTAGACTCCTACTACTGCCATTTTTTTTTTTTTTTGGTTTAAACTCCTACTACTGCCTTGATAACAGAAAGCTGTATTCTTTAATTTACGAATTTTATTTCTTCAATTTATAATAATAATAGTACATGTGCATTCTTAAGAATGTTGTGGGTTTTTAAAGAATCTGAAGAATTTTGTGAGAGAATCAAAATTCAGAAATCCAAATATCGGTGATTTAATTTTTTTTTTTTTTATGGTGGCTGGTTTAGTTTTGCTGTAAAGGAAAAATGGGAAGTGGTGGTGGAGAAGTTGTCGATGCATATATGGTTAAGCAAATACATTATTAATATTCATCTCTTATGGTCAACGAAAATTAAAGGCCAAGGAACAACCACCATACATGTAATCAATTGTGTTTCTGAACACAACTATACTTTGTAGTATTACAAATTAATTAATAAATCTAACTTTCAGTAAACTTAACGTGATAACAATATATGAGCATTCATACTTACATGCTTGCATGTTGAAAAGAGAATTCGTTTCCCACACTCCAACTCTCCAACCACAAATCCCGTTTTCACTTTGAATATTAGCACAACATTTCTCTGACCATTAAAACAAGTTTTGTAAAGAGATTTCAGTTTGGATCCAATTATTCTTTTTCTGCTGGTTAGGTTCAGTATCTATTAGATAGACATATTTTATTCTTTTTAGGCTAACAACATTTTTTTTGAAAATATATATTTTTTGTTTTAAGCGCAATCAAATTTCTATTAGATAAAATATATATATATACGCGAAGAGGTTTTGTCTATTGGGACCAAACGTAACATGTGTTGTAGATTATGTTCAAGTACATCTCGTGACGCTCGTGTGGTGTTATTTTGAACTGGGCCAAATGATCCAGTCCGACGATTGTTGGGCTTTTCTAAAGGATAAAGCGAAGGACATTAAGTTCCCTCGAGGCCTTGTTAATTTATTGAGTCTTCCGTTTTATGTCAAGTTGACTACAAATTTTTGTTATCGTTTTGCATTAGTCTTCTACAATTAATATGTTTACACGAGGAAAAAAAATGCAAAAAGAAACGGTTATTTCTGTTTTCTTCTTGAGTAAACCGTTGTGTATGACGATCATGTGTAACCGAAAGCTTTGGCCTAATAGTTTACCATCATGGCCTAAATTAACACGTGGCATTTGGAAACTATCTCCGATCATCGTTATTATCGTAACATCGTGTGTGTTACAGTAATACTTGGTTGGTCATAGGTAGCGAGACAAAACATCGTGTCGTTTTGTTCTTAAAGAAGTATCTAGAAATCTCCGTCTTGGATAAGGAAAGGTGGAGGGACGAAATAAAAACAGTGTGTCGTTTTTTCGTGATAGGAAGAAGAGAAGTGAAGCACGGCAATACTCTAAAGAAATGCACGAGGAGCTAGGCACAAGAGTACAAGTTGGTACGGAATCTTTTGTGTTAATTCATTCAATTTGTACTTTCTTTTTTCTTTTCTTTTCCGTCTGTCTCAAAGTTTTTTCCATTTTTAAAATCAAAACAGATTTTTATCACTCTCATTTTGGATTCGACAATGACGTTTCCTCTCTCTCTACCACTTGACACACACTTTACGACAATAACACACAAAAAAGTGTTATACGGTGATAAAAATTCCCAATCACGGGCACAACAACAATCACTCTAGTCACAGCTCTGTTTTTTCTATTTTTTTCCCTTCTCTAATTATTGCGTTATAATATATTGAAAACGAGTTTTTCGAGACAAATAATAAAGAATCTTTACTACGAAAGTCCACAATTTGCGCCTGTAAATTACTGAATTTTCATAGTTTACACCACTTGCAAGGTGAAGACACCAGAAACTTCAAATAACAACACTGAAAAGTAATAGTAAAAATCAAGAAAGATGAGACTTTTTTTATTATCTGTGAATGAGAGAAATGTAAAATTAACGGCTTCAATGTCAATGGAAGCTTTAACAAAGTTGGGAATCAAAACATAAGCAAAAACTAAAGAAACATAATCAAAACCAGTGTTTTTGTTTTGAAAGACAAAGAAACGAAACAATAATCTTTTAATGGCTGGAGACTTTGAGGCTGAAGGACTTGTTGATCCAAGCCTTCAAGCTTCCTCCTTTTCTTGCTCCATTAATGGTGGAGCTAGAAGATCTTCCATTACCTTCCTTCTTCTTCTCCTCTGGTTTCCTACACAGAGTAAAGTTCCGTGCACCAAGAGATCCAATCGCGTTCCACGTGGTCAAAGCTTCAGGTCCAACCATGGGACAATAGAGAAGAAAATCATTGAAATCGGATCCGAGAAGCGGAAGACGGCCTTCACGAGCGTAGCATTTAAGAGCAGTGTCGATAACCGAAGCCACGAGATCTTCCTCGTAGGCCACAAACCGGATCGGACCGGCGCTACCAAGAACCGTAACGCTGATGAGAATCCGGTTCCCTTTAGCGTTCTGGTTCTTCTTCTGCTTGTTGTAGAGCAACATCTTCGGAATTTTTGTTTTTCCAAGAGACAAAGACAATAAAAACGGCAGATCCAAGATCAAAAAGAAAATCTAATGCAAACAATCGGAGGAGGGATCGATGGATTCACGGGTCGAGGCCGAGGCAGCGAAAGTACCAGCCTTCTTTGCAAGAACCGAAAGCGAAAGCAGAGGAAGCAGAGAGAGGGAGGAGGAAGCTCGCCCTTTGGATTGGGAGGGAGAGCATAAACTTACCACCGATCGGACTAGTTTCCACCATTCACAAACGATTCCACACAGAGAAAATTAAGGTTTTGAGCAAGAGAGCGCGACGTAATCGAGGAAGGAGGAAGAAGCAGAGAAGAAGGATGAATGTGATTGTGTAGCTGTGAGGGAGGAGGCTGAAGGGGTGTTTATATAGGTACTTAGGGATTAGGGTTTTTTTCGGAAATTTGCGAATTTGGGGATTTTCGAAAGTTTATTGCTCTCTTTCCGTTTTCGTGATTTTCCTTTTTCCAAAACGTGCGTTTCTTTTTTTTTTTTTTTTTTTTTGTTGACGTGTTTTTACTTTGTCCCGTGTATCTACCGAGTAAATCAGTACCAGTCTCGGTTCGGTTTAATAAATATTCGCATATTTTAGTAACCAAAAATGATGTAAAATTTGTAGGGTGCCTCATTAAAACTTATCACATTTAGTTAGGATCTATTTTTTTTCTAATATAATATTTACAATATAACAAACAAATAATCAAAGGATTTGGACGGCTATATAGGTTATATGGATGAAGTTGATTTCTTTTGCAACTCTTATACATATTGAAACTCTTATCAAACAAATAAACTGTGAAGTGATGATAGATGGTAAACGATCGTTATCGAAGTTGAGCAACATAGAGATGTGGCATTACTAAAAGAGCATCACGTGTCTTGCGTTGGACCATTGCCCTCCATGATCCTTGCTGCTTTTAGGTTCCACCGATACAAACCCTCTCTCCCCCATTTCAAAACTTGATAAGTTACACGTTTCTTCTACTTTAGAAACTAGTTTTTAAAATCTTACAAACCTCATCTCTATGGAATATAAGTATATTATTTTAGAGTGTAGAGAAGTAACTTCGAGGAGAGTTGCACGAAACTAGTTGTGCTGGTGATATTTCTTAGATACACGCAACATCTAACATGGTTAAATAGTACTCTCGATAGAGACAACGACGTTCATTTGATTTGTGGCATATATATATATATATATATATATATACCTAAATACACTAATAAGCATGTTTCATGTATGTTCTTCGGTATCTTTTAATTTATGGAAGCGTTGAAAATTCAAATTCTTTATCATGTTTTATGTTTTATATTAGGGTATTTAATTTGGGGTCTTAGACGAGTTAGGTTAGACTTAAGTCATAAAGAAAGCAGAAAACCTATCATTGTCTAAAATAAATCAGGGAATTTAATTTGTATTAGTTAGGTTTCTAATTCTTGGAATATATAATCGTTTCTAACCAATTGTTTATTACAAACGCGTTACTATAAAAATCTCAAATCTTTTGCATCGGGTTCATCGGGATCTTACCTTATAAACAGTAGTATACTCAAACTTTTAATAATATATGGTTAAATTACACGAGTAGGTAAATAGTATCAATATGGAAACAGAATCAGGTGCAGAGAGCATCGTATGGGCCATGATCTTGAGTGGTGCAGATCCAAGCTATAAGAGTTTTATGACTAAAGATAGTGAGAGATGGAGAGAGAGAGAGCACATGATTACTGACGGATAGGACCAAACCAACGAAGCATAGATAAAGATGTCATAAGTTTCGGACAGCTATCAATCTCATCTCTCCATGCATTCTGATATCTCTCGAGATATATAACTTATCATCATTTAATTTCCTCCATATCTTATACTGGTCCGCTCAATGTCCCACTAAATTTGTCCGGTTAACATCTTGTATGATTAATTGTGTAGATCTTTATAATCTTGATATAAATCTTGATAGTATGCGTGTAACAATTACTGATGATGGATAAAAAGAAAAACATTCGAAACATCAGTGGAAGAAACGGTTATGATTTGTATTTCTTTCAGTCAAAGACAAGGAGTGGGCATATAGTATATACCCTGTAAACTAAAATAACAGGTCATTAAGAAATTGAAAAGCATATTCCAAACTAATATCATCCATAGAAAAAATAATAATTTAATGTGACAGCTTATGATTTTATTTCAAATGTAACGATCAGGAAGAATACAAACAAGTAAATTTTTAAAAGGAAACGGCTTCTCTTTAATAAATTGTCCAGCCACTCTTTGTCTGTTCAATTAAGCCACTGGCCAGATTCCCCAAATTTCCTCATGTCCATTGATTTCAAATGTTCGCCAACCAAAAGTCTTATAGATTCAAAGGTGGTACGTAGGTCCATTCATTTCATCATGTCACACGTTATTTTTGTCATCTCAGTCTATATCGTACCATTGCTCCGATCCATATCATACAATATCTTGCATTTATATATTCGCCACTAGCAATTCTCAGTTCACCCGATAAGAATCCTGAGTTTTCAGTCGTTCTCGATTATTATTTTACAATTTTAATATTCAAAACCAGAGACAAAATTTGAAACCATCATCACTGGAAATTTATAACTTAATAGTTTGTGTGGTTGACCAAAATAAACCTAGTAGTTTGTTGTATTAAGTTATTATCATTTGGATCTAAATTAAAAATATGCAGAGTATTATAGACTTTAAAAACCCAATGGAAAAAATCAAGTGGTGGTAGTAAAAATTGATCTGTTGGTTTAGGCCAGAGATTGATTTTTATAAAGTGCTAAACAATTTCCATCTTTGCTTTTGCTTTCGGTTTATTTGAATACTTCGAAAGAAAATCTATTTATGGGCTGCATCTCCTAGACTATGTATCGTGAGTTATAAAGAAAAAAACCAATGGGGTAGTAAAAATGTAAAATCTTTTTAATTACATGGTCGAATCTCGAATCGAATGTTTCGTTGGCCGATGTTTTTTTTCCCTATTGTTTTTGCAGAAATATTTGCGGCTTAAGATTGTAAACTTACAGAAAACTAAGGGACTATAATAAAAGAATGTAAAGTAAGAAAAAGTTGAAGGACTAAAAACAAATTAAATACGGATGAAGATGCGAACGAAGGAAGGAAAGGAGGAACCCTAAAGAAAGTAAAGGAGCAGCGATGAAATCGGTTACCCGAAAACCGCGGATGGATCTGTCGATATTGTTTTTGGAAGTCCGCGTTGAATCAGCGTGGAACCTCCTCGTAAAATTCTATCTTTCGTTTCAAAACTCCAGATCGTTTCCGAATTTTATAAATTACATCAAACCCCCGCTTAATTTGGGGGAATTCAGGCAAGGTTTTTGAGGGGATTTGTGTTCTTCATCGTCGATATCTCCTCAGGGTATCGCTTAATCAGAAAAAAAAGTTTAAGCCTTTTTTTATTTTGTATTCTTCTGGGTGGAATTTTTGCAGCTATGGAAGATAAACCGCTAGGGATTCTGAGAGTTCATGTGAAAAGAGGGATTAATCTCGCGATTCGCGATGCCACGACCAGCGATCCTTATGTCGTTGTCACATTGGGTAATCAGGTCTGTTATCAGATTAAAGCATTGTTTTTGGGTTTGATTCTTATTGTTTTAAAGAGAAAATGTGAATCTTTTTTTTTTGAATTAAGGATTATAGTGTTCAGATTATAGACTTATAAGTCACATGGAGATGGCACTATGTGAGAGATTGATCACCATGTGACGGTTTCTGTGGCCACCATGTGAGAAAAGATATCGTTCTGTGTCTTCTTTGCTAAACAACAAACTAATTCTAAAACACATCCTAAGCGTTACCTTGTCGTTTGCAGTTACACAATCTGGTTAAAGCGTCAATCTTGTTAAACTGATTAACATTTGTTTTCTTGCTTAAGGGTCATCTCCCAAAACAACTAGCTTTGGTTTTCTTGGAAATTGATTGATGAGTGGGCTCATGCATTATCTTTGTTGAAGTGTCATCATCTTTCAAAGCTTATGAACATTAGTCTTTTTCGCAAATGACACATGGCTTTTATTTTGTTACATAATCTTGTTGAATGGTCATAACTCGAAATGTTATTTGAGGTTTAAGAAAGTTGTAAAAAGAGACATGACTGACTTGGCCTAGATGATTCTGTCCCTGTGCTTGTACTCTGTGAAGTCCTCTTTATCATCATTTGTCTATCTATTTTTCATCTCTTCTTTTGACACTTTCATTTTATATCGTTGCGTCAGAAACTGAAGACGCGTGTGATCAATAGTAACTGTAATCCTGTGTGGAACGAACAATTGACCCTTTCCATCAAAGATGTGAATGATCCTATCCGTCTGGTAAGCTTATCACGTCTATAACAATAATCTCCTCGAGAAACCAATTCAATATACGTGCAAGCTGTTTTTTTGGGGGTGACTGCATTGCAAGCCTAAGCTATGAACTCTGGCTTTTTATGCAGACGGTGTTTGATAAAGACAGGTTCTCAGGAGATGACAAAATGGGTGATGCTGAAATAGACATGAGGCCGTTCCTAGAAGCGCATCAGATGGAGTTGGATTTCCAGAAGCTCCCCAATGGTTGTGCGATCAAGAGGATCCGTCCAGGAAGGAACAACTGTTTGGTTGAAGAGAGCAGCATCACTTGGAGCAATGGGAAGATCAAACAAGACATGATTCTCAGACTAAAGAATGTCGAGTGTGGTGAAGTGGAGATCATGCTCGAGTGGACTGATGGTCCGGGCTGCAAGGGTCTTGGACGCGAAGGTATGTTAACGATCCTCCTCTGTTTTTTTTTGAGTCAGTCCATATCTATGATTTGGGTTTTTGTGATTGAAATGCGAGCATTCTTCTTTTCTTAGGATCCAAGAAGACACCATGGATGCCAACAAAACGATTGGACTAAAAGATGCAGAGATGTTAAACCAAGACCGTGAAGATTTGATGGTTTTTTCTTCTTCTGTTCATGGAAAGACGAGTTTGTCTTTTGTCTCGACAGATTTTAATTTTTACGAAAAAAATGGCTCTGCTGCTCTGGTCTTAGTTGTACATGTCGAATAACCCAACCCTCTATATATATTTGTTGTATCTGTTTCTATTATGGAAGAAATAAAGCAAACCCTGAATTTCTAGAACCTCTTCAAGTTTTCTTAGGTTAATTTCAGAATATCTGAGGAATATTGAGGCTTCGTTGGATCGTGATATATATAGATATTTGTAGTGAAATGTGATGAAGGTGTGAAGATATTATTGCAGTTATTGGTGTGTGAACAAATAACATACACAAAAAGGTCACACAAAAGATGAAATGGCATCATTCAACATCATACTAAGGGAGTATACTATAAAGTAATCAAAATTTATCTTAGATATTGAGGAAAAAATAAACATTTTTCAAGTTCAGAGGCATTCCCATACAGATGCAACAAGATGAACAGAAAAAAAAAGAAACATGAACAAATATTTCCTACACGAAACGGCGAAAATAGATAATTTGAAGCTTCAATATGACACTAAGAACCCTTATTACACTTTTAGTTGGAGCAACGAAATTACCTGATTGATGCCTTTGCTTAAACGATTTTCTTCTTCAAAAAAGTAAGTCACTCTCTCTTGAGCGCTAAGCCTTCCCGGGTCTGATCCTCAGTCAAGTTTCACTGAAGAAAACAAGTAATGCACGAACCAGAAAGAAGAGAGGAAACCAACAGTTCCGGTCGCGAGCATAATAGCTAGGACCATGAAGAGCGAGTAGCCGAGATAAAGAGTCGCTGAGACGGGTCCGCTCAAGCTCTGGAGGTCGAAGACGAGGTAATTAATGGAGTATATGAAGATGTAGATTGCAACGGATCCTGATGCAAAGAAGGACTTCCACCACCATTTATAGTCTTCGACACATAGGTGCATGTAAGTTAGCACTAAGGAAACCTCAGCACAGACTACCACAAGAAGGATCATGACAACAAAAAGGAACCCAAAGACGTAGTACACACGGCCCATCCAGATGCTGGACATGATGAAGAAAAGCTCGATGAAGAGGGTCCCGAACGGGAGTGTTCCAGCGCCAAGAACCAGAAGCCACGATGGGTATCTCTGAGCTGGGATTTCTCGGGGAATCTGGTTGGTTCGAACCGGGAATTCAATGTGAGGAGCCTTGGCTCCAAAGTAACCGCCGATAAGAGTGAGAGGAACGGAGATGCAGAACCACAGGAGGATGAGGATGACAAATAGAGAGAATGGAATGGCTCCTGTACTGTGGCTACCCCAAAGAAGAAAGTTCAGCGTTGTAAGGATCAGAAACGCAATACCCGGGAAAAAGCAAGCAGCTTTCCATGCAACAGACATCCATCCACGGTGTTCGCCACAGCTAATTGTCCTGTAGAGGCGAACAGCAACATAACCAGCTGCGATGCCAAGGATCATGTAGAAGAAGAGCATCCCCGTGATGAGTGTTCCGCGTGAAGCCGGTGACATGAAGCCAAGAGCAGCAAACAAGATAGTTACAACAGCCATGCCAAGAATCTGAACACCATCACCAACCATGACACACAAAAGGGACGGGTTTGATGGAGCACGGAAAACATCACCCACGACAAGCTTCCACCCAGATAACTCTTCATTCATCTGAGCTTGAGCCTCCTTGTCCAGCTCCTCATATCGGGTCAAATCCCGCCTAACAGTTCTCAAGAATATCACAAGGACGATACCAGCCAAGAAAGTGATCACCATTAGCGAGTTCAAGATCGAGAACCAGTGAACCTTTGAACCTTCCATCTTCAAGTACGCATCCCATCTCGAAGGCCACTTGATGTCACTCTCCTCGAAACTGACTTCATAAGAGAAGACAATGGACTGGCCTTCCTTGACAGACATGGATACACTAGTAGAATCACATTTGATCGGAGTTGTGTATCTCTCGTACATCTTCAGCTTCTTCGTCGAGTCACCATTATGAGCAAAGCTACAAGGAACCACCTCAAACCCAACAACCATATACCCGAGCTCATCCGAATTTGTCTTCCCAACAATCACCTCAGCTCCATCCCCAGTGCCCATCACACGCGCAACATTAGCCTCTTCATATTTATGAACAAGAACCTTAAACTTCAAGTGGTTGAACACATAGTAGACATCCTGAACCTTGATCCCAACTGGATAACCAGTCCACCTCAGAACATACCCATCTTTCTTAGTGTATCGAATCGCGGGCAAATTGTCAAGCATCGGGTTAACTTGATACATCTCATCGATCCTCTTTTTCAAGAGTTTAAAGCTATCAGCAGAGAGCTTCTCAGTCTGACATAGAAAGATCTCACTCTCATTCTTAAACATTTTAAACCTATAAGGAGAGTTCTCGATCCGATCTCCCATAAGAAGCTCACCTAGATTCTCAGCACTATCCTTAATTCCTTCAGAGGGCTTACAAAAGGGAAGACTATAGTAGCTAAAAGGCATCTCCGTCTCGATCGAAGTAAGAGAATTCACCTTCACATTCAGATAATCACCAACTTGATAGTTATGAGGATAGCTCCCTGGAAGGTAAAATCCAAAACTTGATTGAATCACGGAGAAAATCGCAAGCACCCAGATCCCGGATCGAACCATTGAGCTCATATCTGGATCAATACATTAAGAACAAAACTTCGTCAGATCTCGATCGGTAACAGTTTAAGAAGCTCAGATCTTATGGAATGCAGCATATTACCTTGCCCAAAACCATAAGGCTTCACTCTAGATCGATATCCTTCCAGATCGATGCTTCTTCGATTCTCAGATTGCTCCTCTAGCGAACGGAAGACGTTATCGCCGCCATTGGCCGGTTTCTGCTTCCGATTGTGTTTCGGGTTCACGGCTTTCTTCAATCCGTTGTACTCCACAGATTGGATCGGATCCATCAGCCTTTCTAAAAGTTTCTCGATGGTTCTCTCTCTCCGGCGTAAGAAATAGAGGACAAGACGAGATTTGACCGGAGTGAAAAATGGTTAATATCCTCTTCTTTATTTGTCGGCGAAAATGTATATATATATATATATGATGAACAGAGTAGGAAGATAAATGATTGATATATTTATATACTACGAAAATGGTTATTTGTACAACCTTTTGGGATTTGGCACCCTTTCATTTTTCTCTTTAATCGCGTTTTTAAGTTTAATCACAATGATTAAATATTTTAAATTAATTTTTAAACCCTCTTTATCATCATCATTTGTAACTAAGTAACTTTCTTGCTTGTGTATATATTTTTCATCTCTTCTTGACCCTTTTTCTTAGGTTAGTTTGGGTCGTGGTAGTCTGGTAGATGAAGGGAATATACAGATATTTGTAGTGAAATGTGATTAAGGTATGTATATACATTATTTGTAGTGAAATGTGATTAAGGTATGTATATGCATTATCTGTGTGAACATACAGTACACATAAAGGTCATTGATGCTAACTTTTCCCCATTGCCAGAAATAAAGAATCCAGAGGATAATATTACCAAAGATAAATCAGAATGTGTTGGTGAGGGTAACGCGTAAACATATTTTAGGAAAGAAACCTTTTTTGATTGATTTTTTTTTTTAATGATTTTTTACTCGCTCTTTCGTCCATTGATATGCCAAATTGAGTGGACTCGTTGAATTTCAGCCGGTAATATTTGTTTAAAGGAATAAAATAAAAAGCAGAAGCCTTGACACATCGATCGTGGTGTGTTTTCTCTTCAGAAATTCACAAGAAAAAAAAATATAGAAACAAAAATTGACCAAAAAACTCAGAGGAAGAAGAGGTTGAAGATGGAGGAACTTGCAGGGCTTTTAAGAATCCGAGTGAAGAAAGGGATCAATCTCGCTCGACGAGACTCTCTAAGCAGCGACCCTTTTGTCGTCATAACCATGGGAACACAGGTCTCTTCTCTCTGATTCTAATCTGATTTGGTCTTCTTGATTCCCGAATCTATCTCTGTTCTTGTGTTATATTTCTCTGCTTATATGGAAGATCGGAGATCGGACCTTTTAGAAATATGATAGCTTTTCAATTTTCGAAAAGGGAAACAAATAAAAAAAAAGAGAATCCTAATGTTTGATCTTTGCATGCATTCTCTAATCCAAGTTTTAAATTGCACCAGAAGCTTAAAGGTCGTACCGTGATGAATAACTGCAACCCAGAGTGGAACGAGGAATTGACACTTGCGATCAAACATCCCAATGAACCTGTGAATCTGGTGAGTGTCAAATTTTCTTTTACCATCATAAGGAATCATGAAAGTGTTTTAACCCATTAGATCCATCTCTAGTTCACAATGTTTTGTTACTCATAATAGTGTTTTTTCGGAATCTTATGTGAACAGATAGTGTATGATAAAGATACGTTCACATCGCACGACAAGATGGGAGATGCGCTGATAGATATCAAGCCGTTCCTAGAGGTTCACAAGCTTGGTTTGCAAGAACTCCCAGATGGAACAGAGGTCAAGAGAGTTTTGCCCACAAAAGAGAATTGCTTGTCTGAAGAGAGCAGAATCGTCTCCAAGAATGGCAAGATCGTTCAGGACATGATTCTTGTGTTGAGGAATGTCGAATGTGGCGAGGTCGAGATTCAGCTTGAATGGATTGAAGTTCCAGGTGGAAGAGGACTGTGAAACAACAACAACAAAAAGAAGTATCTTTATGGTTCTCTAAATAAAAAAATCTCAGTTTGTTTTGGCTTTGAGACAAACTCATAATAAGAAGAACACAGAGTACTTTACTCTGTTTTGTAATGGAAATATTTGGTTTTAGATTTTAACCGAAACCGTTTTAGTTTCCCGCGAGTTTTCTCCTCAGCACATAAAAAAAGAATATGCTGTTGTAATTTCAATTTGTATGCAGATGAAGAAAAAGAAAAAAAAAACGTGGAGAAGATACAAACAAAAAGAAATCCAATAAGCTTGGAAGTTTGCTTGCAGATATTTTTTGGTTTTGTGGTAAACATGTGGAATTGCAGAGATATTCAAACGTAAGGTTATGGTTTCATCTAGTTACGAATCTTATCCGTCTCCAAATCTCAAATTTGAAAAAACACTCTAAACAAAAAAAAAAAAAATCTAAGCTTGGAATTATATTCTTTCATTAGATCTCTGCTTGAAACTCTGTTTTCTCATTTACTCAAACATTTCAAATCGGAGTAAAAGCTATGGCTTCGACTTCAACATCATCTTTAATGGCTTCAAAAACTGTAGTCTCCAAAACAGCTCTGTTTCTATCAACATCAGGAATAATCAAACGGAGTTTCTTAACATTCACACCAGCTTCCCCTTCGGTTAAACCACTCAAGATTAGATCTTCACATGCCACTAAGTTCGATGAAGTCACCAACAGTCTCGACGAGGACATGGACCAGATTCGACGGTTACAAAACGGTTCTGACGTGAGAGGAGTCGCATTGGAAGGAGAGAAAGGCCGGGCGGTTACTCTAACTCCTGCAGCCGTTGAAGCAATCGCGGAGAGCTTCGGTGAATGGGTTGCAGCGACGGAGGGTAACGGAAACGGCGTCATTAGGGTTTCTCTCGGACGTGACCCACGTGTCTCCGGCGGGAAGCTGAGCACGGCCGTGTTTGCCGGTTTATCTCGTGCAGGCTGTTTAGCTTTTGACATGGGTTTAGCTACTACTCCTGCTTGCTTCATGAGCACGTTACTCTCTCCATTCGAATACGACGCTTCAATTATGGTAACAGCAATAACTTGTTTTTTTCCTTACAATAAGAGATATGTATGATTCTGACATGATTAGTTTGTTGTGGTTTTGAAGATGACGGCGTCTCATTTACCGTATACAAGAAACGGTCTCAAGTTCTTTACCAAGAGAGGAGGATTAACGTCTCCTGAAGTGGAGAAGATTTGCGATTTAGCTGCGCGGAAGTACGCAAACAGACTGACTAAAGTCTCTACATTGATAAGAACTCGACCAGAGCAAGTCGATTTCATGAGCGCTTACTCTAAGCACCTTAGAGAAATCATTAAAGAGAGAATCAATCACCCTGAACACTACGACACTCCTCTCAAAGGATTTCAGGCAAGAGTCTAGCTTTATAATCCCTCTATGTCTTGAGTGTTACAACACAAAATGTTGACGGTTTTTGTGGTTGGTGTATGGTTAGATAGTAGTGAATGCTGGTAATGGGTCAGGAGGGTTCTTTACGTGGGATGTTCTTGACAAGTTAGGAGCCGATACGTTCGGTTCGCTCTATCTCAACCCGGACGGGATGTTCCCGAATCACATCCCTAATCCGGAAGACAAAACCGCAATGTCACGCACCCGAGCCGCGGTTCTTGAGAACTCAGCGGATCTTGGTGTCGTGTTTGACACGGATGTTGACCGGAGCGGAGTGGTTGATAACAGAGGAAACCCTATAAACGGAGATAAGCTCATTGCGCTTATGTCAGCGATTGTGCTTAAAGAACATCCAGGTGGGTTTAACACTAATGATGTTATCTATTAATTAGTTTATGTGACGTATTATAATACTGATTTAATTTAAGTATATAGGAAGTACAATAGTGACGGACGCAAGAACAAGTATGGGACTAACTAGGTTTATAACGGAGAGAGGAGGGAGACATTGTTTGTACAGAGTAGGGTATAGAAACGTAATAGACAAGGGAGTAGAGCTGAACAGAGACGGCATCGAGAGTCATCTCATGATGGAAACTTCAGGTCATGGTGCTGTTAAAGAGAATCACTTCTTGGATGATGGTTAGTTAATATTGCTACTCTTTTAACTAATCCAGTTAATGAATGGTACATGTACATTAGTAGCTTGATATGTTTGTTTTTTCCCTTATACATTATAGGTGCATACATGGTGGTGAAGATCATAATCGAAATGGTGAGAATGAGACTCGCGGGATCAAAAGAAGGTATCGGTGGTTTGATCGAAGATCTTGAGGAGCCGTTAGAAGCGGTTGAGCTGCGGATGAATATTTTGTCAAAGCCAAGAGATGCCAAAGCAAAAGGCATTGAAGCCATTGAGACATTCAGGCAATACATCGAGGTATATAATTAGCTATGTAACTAATAATCGATTGGTTCTGATTGTAGCTGTAGACTTGAGAATTATTATAAGTGTGGAACTAATATAAATGGTTATTAGGAAGGAAAACTTAAAGGGTGGGAACTGGATTCGTGTGGGGAATGTTGGGTGAGTGAAGGGTGCTTGGTGGATTCAAATGATCATCCATCTGCCATTGATGCTCACATGTACAGGTGATGATTTGTTTCATATATAGTTTATTTCTATATATAATCATATGATAAAAAATAATCGAAATAATAATGTATATAATGAATAAAATCAGGGCAAAAGTTAGGGATGAAGAGAGTGGGGAAGAGTATGGATGGGTGCACATGAGGCAGAGTATTCACAACCCCAACATTGCTCTTAATATGCAATCAATGCTTCCTGGTGGATGTGTCTCCATGACAAGGATCTTCAGAGACCAGTAACTTCCCATTCTTCTTTTAATTCTATTAATTGGTGATGGATGTGATCGAATAGTGTAAATTTTGATGGAGAATTCACACTATTCTATCCGCCTTCACCGATTCTTCCATTCGAAGCAAATTGAATTCTGAATTTGAAATATTTGTTGATAGAGTAACATTTATATATATGGTTTGATCAGGTTCTTGGAAGCTAGTGGGATTGCTAGATTTCTCGACATAAGTGACTTCGACAATTACATCGGAAGTCAATCTTGATCAGACCCCCTTTAGTTCAAATGCGTAACATGTAATTAAACCACAATGCGAACTACTACTTGTTGTATCTCTATTTAATTATGGTAACTTTGTACAAAAAAATCCGGTTCTTTCTTGTTTAGTTATTATGAAGTCTAACTAATTCCTAGCTTTAATAATTTTTCAATACCAATATATATATATATATATATATATTATATCCAATAATTTATTTAGAAATGCTATATCTTAAATGCTCAGTTGCTCACCAAATCTTGTGTCTATGTATTTAATAGTATTTGGGAACATTATTTTTTTTAATAGTATTTGGGAATACACTAGCTAACCAAACAATTATCCAACCATTTCATTATATGATCATTAAGTAACGTAAAGTAGTCTGTATATAATGAATGATTGTGTGTATACGCGGGATATATTTGGTGGATCACAATAATGTCAATGGAAAGTAATTGGGATATACTATATGAATTTAAACATTTAAACCTAAAATAAATTGGATGAAAGTTACCGACATCACTAATTAAGTTGAAATATTGAAAGTCCCTCTGCAAATAACATGTTCAAATATTACTTATACATCGTAAAGGGTGACCTACTGTGTATTATGGACCATGTTTGCTGTCACCATCTGAATTTAAATCCCTACTGTGTATTATGGACCATGTTTACTGATATTGTTGACCCAAAAAAATATACTATTGATCAATGTGTTTAATTGTAAGATAATCACATCATAAACCGTACACCTACAAAGCTACAACTAGTTACCGGTAAAGCCCAAATTCTACAAACAAATTAAAATCAATAGCTTAGTACTTTAGCAACAATCATCAATCTAGCTAATCATTTCCTTCATCTATTCTTCTGGCCTTCTTCTTATGTTTCGTTAAATCATGAAAGCATAAAGATATAGTGATTCGTTAATCCAAAAATATATTATTAGAAAAGATAACAAACCTATATATATAGTTTTTACATATTTATTATAGTAGCCTCACCATGGCTATTACACGTCGCTTCTCGAAGCTACAATTTCCAACGTAACGGTCTTAGTAGAAATACACATTCATGGCACACTCATATTTATATCTCACAAACTCCCACATGGCTCCTTAGTCCTTTATTGCATTTTAATTCAAATACTGAAACTCAAGGCACACACAAATAGTCCTCTATGCCTCCTCGTTCAGGAGATGTTCGTCGATCTCTTGGGAGACTTCGACACAGAACTGTAGGAGAGTCTCGGGATGAGCAACCTCTTCACTGATCTTCTCGTACTCAAGGTGCCAGTGCACAATACTCCCTGTCCCTCCATGCTTAGGGGTCACCTGGATGGTGATCACAAAGCTTTTGTACTCTTTCATCAGATCACCTTCTATAACCCTGAACTTGATCAGGTTCTTCTCCGGCTCCACCGCCTCGATCCTCTCCTTCGCCACCTTTGCCTCCCCATCTGCACCAATTATTTAACATTTGATAGTTATATATAGGTTTAAAAATTTGAGAATAAACATATACTATATATTAATATATGAGGAAAAAAGGATTTATATAACAACGTTAACTTGCCATGAACGTAGTTCCAGAAGATGATAGAGCCGACTTTGCCCCAGTCACCATCGTGAAGCTCACAGCCCTGAATGTTTCCTGGAGATGCTTTGGAGACATGGTGTGGTTTCCCGGTGAACATGTGATGGAACTGCTCCGCGGAAGCTTTGATCTCCACGTCCGTCTCAAGCTTTCCCACCAAGCTAGTCGTATCTGTTGTCTTCACCTCCTCTTCCGCCGGTTTGTTTTCAACCTCGGCCGTTTTAGGAGGTGCCACTTTGATCACCGTGGTCTCTGCCTCTCCCGCACCTGCAGCGTCGACCGTTTTAGTTGGTGCCACGGTCACTGGCGCCTCCGCCTTTTCCTCCATATTCTTTGCAATTTCAGTAGCAGCCCCGGCCATTCTCTCTCCTGCTAATTTGGTTATCTTGAGGAAACTAGGGTTTTTTCTAAAGAGAAAAAGTTTTTCTTTTTATGAGTGAGTTCACATTTGGAAATCTATGGCCCTTTATGTAGAGGAGTGAGCGAGCAAATTTTGTCTCTTTTTCAGCCACTTATTCTTGTGGAAATCTATGGCCCTTTATGTAGGGTTCCTTAGCTTTTTTCAGTGGATTCAATCACCTTAGCTTTTTTCAGTGGATTCAATCATCACAACAATAACATTAAAGTCTCTAGATGACTTGACACATCAGCTTTTTGAAGCTTTATAAATATGACACATTATCAAAAATAATCACCAATAAAAATATTTTATTAATAAATCTCATCTATCAAATTATAATTTTAAAAGAAAAGAAAAAATTATATATAATATTTATTCAGATTTAAAACATATAAATACATAACTGTTAGAGATGAGATCCGTACCGTCTCTAACAAACCCGATACGAATTCTGGTCGGCCCGTCTAACAAGTTACAGGTCGATAACATAAAAGGAAATCTTCCATTTACCGATCGACCCCGGGAAAAAGGAAACTCCTTGCCGACAAGAGTTTCCTATTCCAAGCAGATTGAATACCGACCTGATCAGCTATAAATGTAGGAAGTCCTCGACTCTTCAACTGATCCAAAAAATCATCTATCGAGACTTAGGGCAAACAAAGCAATCTGATTGTTCTAGCTTTCGATTTACTTTCCATAAAAGTTTAGGTCGGCGTTCTTATTTCGACGACCTAAACCCTTGTGTATTCATTCAAGCTCCGGCTTCTTTTAATAAAAGACCTCTTTAAACCCACAAACCCTAGTTCTTTCGTAGATCGAACTTGAGTTTTTACAGTTGGCGCCGTCTGAGGGGAATAAAAGAGTAATCTTTGACTTAGAACGGAGTTTGAAGATGGTTCAAACACCGATCAACACTACCGACCTCACAGGAGCCTCCGATCCGACAAGAAACATTCAGGATCCGATCATCGACCTAGCCACAGGGCTTCCGGTGGCCCACCAGACCGATCAGGAAGACAACACAACTACCACACAGAACACGGGGGGAACAGACCAGGTCGGTCAGCCGGGTGGCACAGACACGACCAGCCTGCCACAGCCACCTCCCGTCGACATGGCCACGATCATCAGGTCGGTTGCAGCACAGTTGCAACAGGGGATGGATGCTCGCTTCGAATCCCTCTGTGCCGAGCAGATCGCCTACAGAGAAGACCTAGATCGGCTTCTCAACTCTAGAGTTCATACCCAAGAGCAGGCCGAACTAATCACCCCTCCTCGCCCTCCGATCCGCAACACAGATACGACCAGGCTAGTCAACAACCTGTTCGGCACAACACCGACAGACGACCTGCGGAGAGCACAGGTAGAAGGCTCGAACGCTCGTTCATCGCGCAATACCGCAGATACCGACCCGACGACAACCTCGGAACTCGATCTTCTCCACCAACGCTTTGATGATATCCACAACAAGATTCACAAGGCGACGACCTCAGCGCCCGAGTTGGATAAGATCCTTCAGGAAACACAGCAAACCCCGTTCACGTCGGTTATCACCAATGCTCCTCTTAAGGACATAGGTCGGATGAAGCTACCTCCGAGTTACTCCGGCACGACAGACCCGAAGCGACACCTGATCGCGTTCAACGCAGTCATGGGACGTGCTCGCTTCACCGATGAGGAACGAGAAGCATGCCTCTGTCAATACTTTGTGGAGACGCTCTCCGGAAGCGCCCTCACCTGGTTCTCACAGCTTCCCAAAAACTCCATCGACAACTTCAAGGAGCTCACAGCTCGGTTCCAGAAGCATTATTCGATTTACATCGACACAGAGTCCACAGCGCTCGATCTATGGGCATGCATCCAGGGCAACACAGAACCGCTGCGCAATTTTATCGATCGATTCCGATCGATCGTCTCCCAGTGCAGTATGTCGGATAAACTGTGTTTCAACATTCTTATCAAGAATTTGAAGGATGATTCATCGTTTTGTGAACGATTAAAAACAGAAAAAACCAAAACCCTCGAGGATGCTTTGCACAAGGCATCCGCGTACATCAGAGTCGAAGTGGATCGGGCAGCCAAGACCAAGGCCAAGTTGGCCGATGAAAAATCTTCGCGCGACAAGAAAGGCAGATCGTCGAGTCAGGAAGATTACAAAGAGCCCGTTCAGCACTACGACAAGGATGACAAGCATCGCAAGAGCATCAACACAGTTAGACGACCAAAAAAGCCATGGAATATGTGGGACCGCTCGAGCGACAGAGACCCCGACAGCAAAAAGCCATGGTGCAAATACCATAGGGCACACGGTCATCATACCGATGATTGCCGCACCCTCCCAGCCCTCTTGAGGAAGAGGTGGGATGATGGCGAGATCACCTTTCCAGAACCCCGGAGTTCACGATGATCCGACGAAGAGGACAAGCGACCCGATGACGATCGCGATAGAAGAGATAACACCGATCGCTCTTCTAAACGCGAGGGCAAGGAAGCAAAGCGTGACCGTGAAGACGATCACACACCTCCAAGCTCACCACGTCGGCGGATCAACATGATCATGGGAGGTCTCCTCTCGTGCACCGACTCGATAAATTCAATTAAACAGCACGAACGGAAGGCAGCCAATCCCCCGAAGGACGCACCACCATTGTTCAAGGACGACCTACCGATCACATTCACAGAGCCGGACACGCATGACATAGACCGACCTCATAACGATCCACTTGTCATCTCACTACGACTCGGAGAGGACGACGTCTCCAAAGTGTTGATCGACACTGGAAGTTCGGTCGATCTCATCTTCATGGATACTCTACGCAAGATGAGTATCCCCGAGTGGGACATCTAAGTCGCACTATCACCACTCACAGGATTCACTGGAGACTCGATTTCGACAATAGGAACTATAACGATGCCTGTCACCTTACGCGGGAAGTCAATTACGGTCAAATTCGAGGTTATTGACTGACCTGCGATCTACAATGCCATCCTTGGAACACCATGGCTGAACGCCATGCAAGCCGTCCCTTTTCCTTACCATCAATGCATCAAGATGCCGATTAGGTGCCGTGTCATCACCATCCGTGACGACCAGACATTGTCCCGACATTGTTACATCGACAACAAGCGCGCCCGAAAGGCATCAACGTTCGTGATCGGTAGAAGTAGCGACTTCGACCCACGGATCGTTCATCACGATCTTATCGCCCAAGTCAACATCGATGCTGTCCACCCGGAACGTTGCATCGGTATCGGCACGGAACTGTTACCTAGCATGCAGGACGAGCTGATCAGTTTCCTCTGAGAGAACGTCGCAACGTTTGCGTGGTCCATGGCCGACATGAAGGGCATTAACCCCCGAATAACGAGTCACGAATTGAATGTCGACCCAACCTTCAAGCCGATCAAGCAGAAGCGACGAAAGTTAGGACCTGAGCGAGCACAAACCGTCCACGATGAAGTAGATAAACTCCTGAAGGCCGGATCAATCGCAGAAGTAAAGTATCCGGATTGGCTCGCCAACCCGGTGGTCGTCAAAAAGAAAAATGGCAAGTGGCGGGTCTGCGTGGATTTCACCGACCTTAACAAAGCTTGCCCGAAGGACAGTTTCCCTCTTCCTCGTATCGATCAGCTCGTCGAGGCTACGACAGGCAACAAGCTACTATCCTTTATGGATGCATTCTCAGGATATAATCAGATTCTCATGAATCCGGACGACAGCGAGAAGACCGCATTCATCACAGATCGGGGCACCTACTCCTACAAGGTCATGCCTTTTGGTTTGAAAAACGCTGGAGCCACTTACCAGCGCCTGGTCAACAAAATGTTCGCCGACCAGCTTGGGAAGACGATGGAGTTATATATAGATGATATGCTCGTCAAATCAGCTAAAGCAGCCGACCATATCATCCATCTGCAAGAATGCTTTCTCATACTGAACCAGTATGCCATGAAACTCAACCCCGCAAAATGCACCTTCACAGTCACATCCGGCAAATTTCTAGGATACTTGGTCACTCAGCGTGGCATCGAAGCCAATCCTAAGCAGATCTCCGCGATCTTGGAGCTACCTTCGCCAACCAACACTCTTGAAGTTCAGCGCCTAACAGGAAGAATAGCCGCGCTAAACAAATTCATATCTCGATCTACAGATAAGTGTCTTCTCTTCTATCAACTCCTACGAGGCAACAAGCGATTCGAATGGGACGAAAAGTGTGAAGACGCGTTCGTACAGCTAAAAACCTACCTTTCGACACCACCGATCCTGGCCAAACCTGAGTACGGCGACATTCTGCTACTCTACGTTGCGGTCTCCAGCGCAGCAATCAGCGGAGTCCTGGTTCGAGAGGACCATGGGGAGCAGAAGCCGATCTTCTACTTCAGCAAAACCTTGGATGATGCTGAAGCTCGCTACCCGACCTTAGAAAAACTCGCTCTTGCAGTGGTTGTTGCTTCAAGGAAACTACGACCTTATTTTCAATCTTATTCCATTGCCGTCATGACCAGCCAACCTCTTCGTTCGATTCTGCACAGCCTGACGCAGTCGGTCGCATGGCAAAGTGGGCAATCGAGCTTTCTGAGTTCGATATCGAGTATCGAACGTGGACTTCTGCGAAATTACAAGTTTTGGCGGATTTTTTGATCGAACTATCACCGGAGCTCTTAAGCGCCGACCCGGCAAATTCAGAAATATGGACGCTACACGTTTACGAAACATCGTCACGCTTCGGAGCTGGTATCGGCATTCTGTTAGAATCTCCCACCGGAGAACTTCTCGAGCAGTGCTTCTGTCTGGAGTTTAATGCATCCAACAATGTAGTCGAATACGAAGCGCTGATCGGCGGTCTCCGACTAGCCCGGGGGATGAACATCCAACACATCCGGGCATTTAGCGATTCGCAGCTCGTCGCTAAGCAGTTCAGCGGAGAGTATGACGCAAAGGACGATCGAATGGACGCCTA